TTTTTAGTTAGCATGTAGTAAACTGCGCCCCTACCTGCTGGAGATGACATTACGCTGCAGTTCCTGTCTGTCAAACGTGGCAAGAGCACAGAGACCTCCGTACACAGCAACATTACTAGGAGAGAGGAGCTACAGGAACACACACAGAGTATTAAATACTCTAACCCCCCTACAGTAACCCCAATAATAATAATGTTTCCAAAGACGAGGTGTGAAACCACTTACCTCCGGACAGTCACAGTGATCAAAAGACGCCTGCAGGAAACATTTAGCAGCTGGTTTATATTTACGAGAGGCCAACTCCGCCAAGCCTGAAAAACACACACACACACACACAGTGGATGGTATGAATGTAGACACAGAGCTCCTCTGCAGCTAATCGTGACCCTCATGGAGCTCCTCTCCATCTTACCTGCTGCACACTTTAACTTGGTGAGCACCGCCTGGTTCTGGCTGTCTCGCTCGCCTCTTTGCTAAACACAGAATTCATTCATGAGTCAGATGTGATAAATAACTAAACGATTCTGTCCCGGCGTTAACACTTTGATCAGAGAACAGATTTTAAAGGATCTGAAGCAGGGTGCTCTGAGACTGATTCACCTCTGCGATCTCAGGTGTGGACTCTGCTTTGTTGACGTAGCTCAGCACATGGGACCAGTTCTGCAGGTACACACTGACCTGGGGGGCAGAGGTCAAAGGTCAAAGGTCAAATATACTTCATGTATGCAGGTGAGTCTGAACTTTAAACCATATTCTGTGTTCAACCTGAAACAAACATCAGGTGTTAAAGGTGAGAAATAACCCACAGAAACAGAACATATAGATATGCATGTATAGCTGACTCTACCTGTACCATTCACTTCCCTCACCTTGATGACGTTCAGACACATGTTGATGACGTGTTTGGCGCTTGTGCAGTAATCTCGAGCTCTGGAGTAACACTTGAGGGCGTTACTGAGGTCGCCACAGTCCAGGTAGTGATCGCCCAGGTCGTCATGGCCCCTCCTATGGGGGGGGGGTAGTAGACTGTTAATAACCTGTCACCTCTGACTGTCTCACCTCGGACTGTCTGTCTCACCTCAGTCTGTCTCACCTCGGACTGTCTGTCTCACCTCTGTCTGTCTCACCTCTGACTGTCTCACCTGATGCTCTCTTTAATGGAGTTGCCCTTGTAGTTCTTCAGGTCTGTGTCCAGTTTCTCCAGTTTCAGCAAAGCCTTCTTCCGAGTGGACTCGGCCCAGGCTGAGTCCAGGGGAGGAGGGACGACGGCCCCTTCAGGCACCGTGTCAGGAACACCCTGAGCTTCTCTGTGCACAGAAAACACAACAACACACAGGCAGGTATAAAACTATAACCATATTATTATAATGTTGAGTCAGTGTGTGTTTGTTGTTTAACGTGTGTGTGTTTGTTGTGTTAGCGTGTATGTCTTTGTTGTGTTAGCGTGTGTGTGTGTGTTTGTTGTGTTAGCATGTGTGTGTGTTTGTATGTGTGTGTGTGTGTGTTTGTTGTGTTACCGTGTGGCCTCGGTCAGTTTGCGGTGGATTTCTTCGTACGTGTCGACGTTAAACGTTCGCTGGACGAAGGTGAGCGCCATCTTCAAAGACTCGACTCTGAGCTGAGGACAGTGTTCAGCGATGAACTGCAGCCGCTCAATACGCATCAACCCACTGTAACTGGTCGCATACTGCTCCAGGTCCTACACACACACACACACACAACAAACACACACATAAAAATGGCATCAAAACATGTAAAGTCAATATGAGCGAGTGTGTGTGTCAGAGTGTGTGTCAGAGTGTGTGTCAGAGTGTGTGTCAGGTGAATACCAGCGTCGGGTTCTCCACGATGTAGTTTGTATCTGGAGCGTTCTGTTGATCCTCCTGAGGGTCTGCATCGATCTGCATCGGTTCTACAGACCCCTGAGACACACAAGAACCAAGTACACACACACACACACGTCAGGTAACCAAAGTTTCACAACACAACAGGTACACAGGCCAGAAGACATCACTGGCAAGACAATTCTATCTCATAATAACTAAGTATGCTCATGCTAGCTGTGTATTAAGTTGTTTTCATAAGAACTGCATATACTAATGCTGGCTGTGTTTTAAGTTGTTTTCATAAGAACTGCATATACTAATGCTAGCTGTGTTTTAAGTTGTTTTCATAAGAACTACATATACTAATGCTGGCTGTGTTTTAAGTTGTTTTCATAAGAACTACATATACTAATGCTGGCTGTGTTTTAAGTTGTTTTCATAAGAACTGCATATACTAATGCTAGCTGTGTTTTAAGTTGTTTTCATAAGAACTACATATACTAATGCTGGCTGTGTTTTAAGTTGTTTTCATAAGAACTACATATGCTAATGCTAGCTGTGTATTAAGTTGTTTTCATAAGAACTGCATATGCTAATGCTGGCTGTGTTTTAAGTTGTTTTCATAAGAACTACATATACTAATGCTAGCTGTGTTTTAAGTTGTTTTCATAAGAACTACATATACTAATGCTGGCTGTGTTTTAAGTTGTTTTCATAAGAACTACATATGCTAATGCTAGCTGTGTATTAAGTTGTTTTCATAAGAACTGCATATGCTAATGCTAGCTGTGTATTAAGTTGTTTTCATAAGAACTACATATGCTCATGCTAGCTGTGTTTTAAGTTGTTTTCATAAGAACTACATATGCTAATGCTGGCTGTGTTTTAAGTTGTTTTCATAAGAACTACATATGCTCATGCTAGCTGTGTATTATGTTGTTTTGTTTTTTTAAAACCTCTGGTGGTCATGTTGTTAGCTAGCGGAAGCTGTCAGTTAGCTGTTAGCTTTGTCTCTATTTAACTACATTTATCTAATTTTGGATTTAAGTTGCTGGTTGATGATATCTGAGATGTTTTAATATTCTAACCTTTGCGAGGTTTTCCCTCATTCGGCGTAAAACACTTTGAGAAGCGGTAATAATTGTAATAAATAATAACTCCTCACAGGGAGAACCGTTAGCAACACATGCTAACCCGTTCACAGATTAATTTGCAGGGTTAGGGTTTCTAAATTAAAGAATGTGTTGTTTCCTGAACGATGCAACCAAATAAACCTTTAACATAAAATAAACACAAAAACCTTCAAAATAAAATAAACAGGTTTGTTTTGTTAAACCGTGATACTAGCTGAGGCTAACCTAGCTAACAGCTAACTGTCGTTATAACAGTTAAAAACATCACGTTCTGTAATCTTCTTCAGACAGCGGAATGGCTTACCTGGAAGTTAAACACCTGCACAGGTAAAGGCATCCTACTTCATTATTGGCTCAGGTGTCTTTTACTCAGAAATAAATGTATCCTCAAAATGTTTTTAATGTGTAGTCACAGACACACTCAGACTTTAATGTCTGTTAGAGAACCAGCTGAGAGGAGAGTCAGCGCCCCCTGCTGGACAGGAGGGCAACAGGAGGCAGAAATATACTCTATAATACTCTATAATACTCTATAATACTCTATAATACTCTATAATACTAGTCTATTATTGTTTCTCCTTAACAAATAACAACAGAAAGAACTGTGACACATTAAATCTTTTCATCTTGTGTTTGCTGAGCAGACTGTTCTCTGTCCTTCTCTATGTCCTCAATATTAAAGATATTTATAGACAATAATCTAACACGCACACACACACACACACACACACACACACACACACACACACATACATACACACACACACACACACACATACATACACACACACGCACACACTGATTATGTTCACTGTTCAGAACACTGATCACCTGTCAGGTATAAGATAAGATAATCCTTTATTTATCCCACAATGGGAAAATTTACATTGTTACAGCAGCAAAGAGCAAAGATTGCAGACAAAAAGTGAACACAGTACAATTTAAATATAAAAAGAAAAATTAAGAATGTACAAAAAAATAGATTGAAAAAATAACTTTATAATGCTGCGGATAATATTTGAACTCAATAACCGTTACCCGCCCCCCTTCCCTCTCTCTCTCTCTCTCTCCCTCTCTCTCTCTCTCTCTCCTCGCTTCTATCGAGCCCCCCCCCCCCCCCCCAAGCAGCGTAACGTGCCGTGAGCGCGCGCCGAGTTGGTGTGATAATGCAGCAGACTCACGCGCCGAGGAGGAGGCTTCACGTGAGGAGGTAGCTGTATTTTGTTTTCATGAAATATAAAATGTTATCGTTTATTAAAGACAGATCATTTCAAACATGGCGGCTTAATGTGGAGCTGCTGCGCGTGCACAGATGTGTCAGACTGCGGTAAAACCGGCTGCTGCTGCACGAGCTCCTCTTTCATTCAAACTTTCATTCATCCGGATCAGCTGGAGACCATCTCACTGACCCGGGACAACATACCGAGAGCCCGGATCAGCTGGAGACCACGACACTGACCCGGGTCAACATCCCGAGAGCCCGTTAGAACCACAAACTCCATCCACCAAGTGTCCACCTAGAGGAGGAGGGAGAGAGAGAGAGAGAGGGAGAGGAGAGAGAGAGAGAGAGAGGAGAGAGAGAGGAGAGAGAGAGGAGAGAGAGCGAGAGAGAGAGGGAGAGGAGAGAGAGAGAGAGAGGGAGAGGAGAGAGAGAGCGAGAGAGGAGAGAGAGAGGAGAGAGAGCGAGAGAGAGAGAGAGAGAGGGAGAGGAGAGAGAGAGCGAGAGAGAGAGAGGAGGAGAGAGAGAGGGAGAGAGAGAGGAGCGAGAGAGAGGGAGAGGAGGAGGAGGAGAGAGAGAGAGCGAGAGAGAGAGGAGGAGAGAGAGAGGGAGAGAGAGAGAGGGAGAGGAGAGAGAGAGCAAGAGAGAGAGAGGGAGAGGAGAGAGAGGAGGAGAGGGAGAGAGAGAAGCGAGAGAGGGAGAGGAGGAGGAGAGAGGGAGAGGAGGAGAGAGAGAGCGAGAGAGAGAGGGAGAGGAGAGAGAGCGAGAGAGAAGGAGAGGAGGAGGAGGAGAGAGAGAGCGAGAGAGAGAGAGGAGAGAGAGAGCGAGAGAGAGAGAGAGAGAGAGGAGGAGGAGAGAGAGAGAGGGAAAGAGAGAGAGGAAGAAAAAAAGGAGGTGGCGTAAGCAGCTTCTGTTTGGGCCAGCTCAGACATTTGGTGGTTCAGACTGGATTGTGGATCCATGTAGACGGGATTTCTCTGATGGGGAAGGACCAGGACCAGGAGCAGAGAGGACCCAGGTCAAACTTGGTGAGCGGGGCTACTCTGGAACGAGACCGCGAGAGAAGGTACGCCGAACTCTTCAGAGAGCTGGACCTGAACCAGGATGGCAGAGTGGACATCAACGAGCTTCGGACTGGACTGTCTGCACGGGGACTGCACCGGGGGGAGGCAGAGGAGGTGAGAGATTAGAGTGGGTCCTTAAAACCTCACTCCCTCCAGGTGAGGGGGGGGGGGGGGGGGTTGAAGGATTTCCTCAGGTCTTGTTCCTAAGTGAGGGTAAGATGGACTGTGAGATGGAGCTGAAAGCCTCCCTGTGGTCATGAGCTTTGGGTCGGGTTAGGGCCAAAAATCAAATCTTAATATTTGTTTAATTGAAATGCAAATACATGTGATCATTTATAAATATTATCCAGCCCTAAAGAAACAGGTGAATAATGTCCATATCAGCCTGCATACACCTGTAGACCTCCACCACCTGTTTGGGTTATCCTCTCTTTCTCCCTGCTAAGTAGCTGACGGGCTGACTCTGCTGCCCCCTACAGATCGTCCTGGAGAGCGACCAGAACCATGACGGTCTGCTGGACTTCCAGGAGTTCTCTCAGTACCTGCTGGCTCACGAAAAGAGACTGTGGCTCATGTTTCACAGCCTGGACCGTAACCATGACGGTGAGGGCGGGGCTAAAGTCTTTATCACTTCCTTTTTAACAGTGATTCATTTTCAATATGTTTAAGATGTTTTTATGTATGTATGATATCCTGATATATTCTCTGCTCTGTACTGTAGGTCGGATCGATGTGGGAGAGATTAAACACTTGCTGCACAAACTGGGAATAAAAGTGACAACAGAGCAGGCATCCAGAATACTACAGAGGTAAAGAGAGAGAGAGAGAGAGAGAAGACTCACATGTTTCATGGCTCTCTGTAACAGCAAAGCAGCAACCTTGTTGAAAATTGAAGCCGATGCAGAAGACCCAAAAACTGCAGTTCCTCCAGTGTCCACTAGAGTTTGTCTCCTGCAGTGAGTCAGTCCCCATAGAGCCCCATGTTAAAATGTCTAACTTTACAGCTGCAGTTCCTCCAGTGTCCACTAGAGTCTGTCTCCTGCAGTGAGTCAGTCCCCATAGAGCCCCATGTTAAAATGTCTAACTTTACAGCTGCAGTTCCTTCAGTTTCCACTAGAGTCTGTCTCCTGCAGTGAGTCAGTCCCCATAGAGCTCTATGTTAAAATGTCTAACTTTACAGCTGCAGTTCCTCCAGTGTCCGCTAGAGTCTGTCCGTCCTAACCCAAATTAAGAGATGACATCACTCTGGCCACGCCCCAAACATACAGTCTGTGAGCCAAAGGTAGTTGTTAGAAGATAAAGAATCAGAATCAGAAATGTTTTTTATTGCCATGTACATCTGTACAAGGAATTTGACTTGATGTTTAAACAAAGGAGATGAAGAAAAATTAGCAAGAACTTATGGATAGTTCACACAGAGAGGCGATACAAACACAGCTCTTCTGTTCGCTCATCGTCTCTTTCAGTATGGACCGAGACGGGACCATGACCATTGACTGGATTGAATGGCGAGATCACTTCCTGTTTAACCCTTTCCACAACATGGAGGAGATTGTTCACTACTGGAAACACTCTCACGTAAGTCACATGATACTCCTGAGGTCAGGTCACAGTGATGACATCATGAAAACATCTTCTGCTGTTATTACAGATGTTTGATATCGGGGAACACCTGACTGTACCTGATGAGTTCTCAGAGAAGGAGCGACGTTCCGGTCTGGTGTGGAGACAGCTTGTTGCCGGGGCGATGGCGGGCGCGGTTTCCCGAACAGGAACTGCTCCTCTGGACCGCATCAAAGTCTTCTTGCAGGTCAGTCAGTATACATCAGCAGATGTACAAATGGTACCAACATTTAATATCATGTAAACATGTCAGTTGTATGTTTAGGCCACGCCCCCTAATTCCACATCACTTTAAGCCGTTATATAATATAAACAGGTGAGTTATATTTATTTCTGCTGTAAAAAGATGGATATTTTAACATGGGGCTCTATGGGGACTGACTCACTGCAGGAGACAGACTCTAGTGGACACTGGAGGAACTGCAGGTTTTGGTTTTGGTTAGGTGAAGTTTTTATTTTATTGGAGGTCAGGTCTAAATGTTGCTTATTAAAGTGTTGTAAATATCAGAGTTTCAAGATGTTTTCCATTTTTTTAATATGACTCACTTAAACATTGTTTAAGCACTTTCCATTCCATGTAAATCAAATGGCAAATAATGACCCTTCAGGCCTGCCGTACAAGTCCTTTGAAATTAAAATCTGTCAACAGTAACAATATAAAGTGACACTCAGTGTGTGTGTGTGTGTGTGTGTGTGTGTGTGTGTGTGTGTGTGTGTGTATGCAGGTGCACGGCATGTCGTCTCGGGGGGTTAACCTGTGGTCAGGTCTGAGGGGGATGGTAAGGGAAGGGGGCGTGGCCTCACTGTGGAGAGGAAACGGCATCAACGTCCTCAAGATTGCTCCGGAGTCCGCCATTAAGTTTATGGCCTATGAACAGGTGGGTTAATTAATCAATCAATCAACCAATCAATTATCCTCTACAGTTTTCTTCATGTCGTAATCCCTCTGCTCCTCCTCCTCTCTGCTCCTCCTCCTCTCTGCCCCTACTCCTCTCTGCCCCTCCTCTCCTCTCCTCCTCTCCTCCTCTCTCCTCTCTGCCCCTCCTCCACCCTCCTCTCCTCTCTGTCCCTCCCCCTCTCTGCTCCTCTCTCCTCTCTGCTCCTCCTCCTCTCTGCTCCTCCTCCTCCTCCTCTCCTCCTCTCTGCCCCTCCTCCTCTCTGCTCCTCCTCCTTTCCTCCTCTCTGCTCCTCCTCCTCTCTGCTCCTCCTCCTCCTCTCCTCCTCTCTGCCCCTCCTCCTCTCTGCTCCTCCTCCTTTCCTCCTCTCTGCCCCTCCTCCTCTCTGCTCCTCTCTCCTCCTTTCCTCCTCTCTGCCCCTCCTCCTCTCTGCTCCTCCTCCTCTCTTCTCTCTGCTCCTCCTCCTTCTCGCCTCCTCTCCTCCTCTCTGCTCCTCCTACTCTCCTCCTGTAGATAAAGTATAGGATTCGGGGCAGTAAAGAAGGAGGGAGTTTGAGGGTTCAGGAAAGATTCCTTGCTGGTTCTCTGGCAGGAGCGACTGCTCAGACCATCATCTACCCCATGGAGGTCAGTGTCTGTTTAAAGGTAAACATGGAGGTCAAAGGTCAGGGTCATCATATCTTCTTCTTCAGGTGCTGAAGACTCGGCTGACTCTGAGGACGACCGGTCAATACTCGGGAATGTGTGACTGTGCTCGTCAGATCCTGAGGACGGAGGGAGTGCGAGTGTTTTACAGAGGATACCTGCCCAACACTCTGGGCATCATCCCATACGCCGGCATTGACCTGGCTGTGTACGAGGTCAGTTTCCCACCTGTTTGAAACTCTCTCACCTGTTTGAAACTCTCTCACCTGTTTGAAACTATCTCACCTGTTTGAAACTCTCTCACCTGTTTAAAACTCTCTCACCTTTGTGAAACTCTCTCACCTGTTTGAAACTCTCTCACCTGTTTGAAACTCTCACACTTTTTTGAAACTCTCTCACCTGTTTCACCTGTTTGAAACTCTCTCACCTGTTTGAAACTCTCTCACCTTTTTTTTTTTTTTTAAAGACAAATTTTTGGGCTTTTAATTGAGAGATAGGACAGTGGATAGAGTTGGAAACCAGGGAGTGAGAGTGGGGAATGACATGCGGAAGGGAAGCCACAGGCCAGACTCGAACCCGGGCCACCCGCTTGAGACTACAGCCTCCATACATGGGGCGCGCGCCTTAACCACTGCGCCACCAGCGCCCCCCCTCACCTGTTTGAAACTCTCTCACCTGTTTCACCTGTTTAAAACTCTGTCACCTGTTTGAAACTCTCTCACCTTTTTGAAACTCTCTCACCTGTTTGAAACTCTCTCACCTGTTTGAAACTCTCTCACCTGTTTCACCTGTTTAAAACTCTCTCACCTGTTTGAAACTCTTTCACCTTTTTGAAACTCTCTCACCTGTTTGAAACTGTCTCACCTGTTTCACCTGTTCAAAACTCTCTCACCTGTTTGAAACTCTCTCATCTTTGTGAAACTCTCTCACCTGTTTGAAACTCTCTCACCTGTTTAAAACTCTCTCACCTGTTTAAAACTCTCTCACCTGTTTGAAACTCTCTCACCTGTTTGAAACTCTCTCTCCCGTTTCACCTGTTTGAAACTCTCTCACCTGTTTGAAACTCTCTCACCTGTTTCACCTGTTTGAAACTCTCTCACCTGTTTGAAACTCTCACCTGTTTGAAACTCTCTTCTCTTGGTGTCAGACTCTGAAGAACGCCTGGCTGCAGAGGTTCTGCGTGGACTCTGCTGATCCTGGCGTTTTGGTTCTGCTTGGTTGTGGGACGGTCTCCAGCACGTGTGGTCAGCTGGCGTCGTATCCGCTCGCTCTCATCAGGACGCGCATGCAGGCACAAGGTGAGACTAATAAACTCTCAGCCTACTGAACATGAACAATTAACCATGAACTGATGAATAAATATCTCTCCTGATGATCAGCAAATTCTGATGGGGAACCCAAGCTGAGCATGCTGGGACAATTCAGACACATCGTGTCTCAGGACGGCGTTCTTGGACTCTACCGAGGAATCACGCCCAACTTCCTCAAAGTCATCCCCGCCGTCAGCATCTCCTACGTCGTCTACGAACACATGAAAAAGTTGCTGGGGGTGGGACACTGAGGAAAGGAGGAGAGGAGAGGAGAGGAGAGGAGAGGAGAGGAGAGGAGATGAAAGGAGAGGAGAGGAGAGGAAAGGAAAGGAGAGGAGAGGAGAGGAGAGGAGAGGAAAGGACAGGAGAGTAGAACCTGTGGATGAGTAAACGTAACAGGTAACACCTGAAACACCAGGTAACACCTGAAACACCTGGTAACTTTAGAAAAAACATGTTTCATGTATTTATTTGATGATTTAATTTGTACAGAAGCCCAAAGCAGACACATTTTATTTTGCTCTTCCTGCGGTCAGGGTTAAGGGTCAAGGTTAAGGGTCAGGGGTCAGGGTTAAGGGTCAGGGTTAAGGGTCAGGGTAAAGGTCAAACCTCTGAGAGTAAACATGAACGCGTCATGCTGCTGGTGTCTGCTTTCTACTTTGAACTGCTTTGAACTTTCTGTTATTTTGAACCTTTTTCAAGTCTGTTGGCTGCAGATATAAAAACAGAGAGTTTGAATTTAAACTCTGAATGTCATTATTTTCATAAGACTAAAAAAGATCATATATATTATTAATATACTATTAATATGAACAAACCATCCCTGACGTGTTGCTGCCGGTTTCTGTGCAGGTTTAAAGTTTTTATATTGCTAAAGCATGAGTGCATGTTTACCTGTATGGAAAGCCAAAAGGGACATTATTTTACATCACTTCCTTGTAATCTGGAGTCTTTGAATATATGTTCTTTTTACTAAATCCATTACAATCCATTTGAACTTCTGGTGGTTTATATTTTAACCCTTTAAGCTGTCAGAGTTGAGTTCACGTCTTTGTTCAGATTTTAACTTTGACCTCAGAAATAATCATTTATTTATTTATTGTGATGGATGTAGAGACACAAAGGTCTGTGATTAATGTCCCTCTTGGCTTACCGTACACCAGCCTGCGGACAAAACAAATTATTTTATAAAACTGTGTGTGTGTCTGTGTCTGTGTGTGTGTGTGTGTGTGTGTGTGTGTGTGTGTGTGTGTGTGTGTGTGTGTGTGTGTTTCTGTGTGTGTGTGTGTGTGTGTCTCTCTCTCTCTGTGTGTGTGTGTGTGTGTGTGTGTGTGTGTGTGTGTGTGTGTGTGTGTTTGTGTGTGTGTTTCTGCATGTGTGTTTGTGTGTCTGTCTCTGTGTGTGTGTGTGTGTGTGTGTGTGTGTGTGTGTGTGTGTGTGTGTGTGTGTGTGTGTGTGTCTCTGACAGGATGATTGATGACGGTTTTAAGGACTCTGTCTGATTTTTTGGTTCTTTTTAAAATCTTTTTGTAAAAAACGATTCGTCCAGAAATAATGAAATGAGTGATGAACTTGAAACGGCGTGCAGAGTGATGTCGTGCTGCATTCAGGCGCTCAGTGTTTTCAAGTTGACTGATGCTGCATTAAAGTGCTTTACATGTTAAAAAATATGTTTGCCGTTGTTTTGTTTAGAGATCAGACATCCAGCAGGTGGCGCTGTCACCAGAGAAAAGTCTCCAATCGTTGTTTCTTCTTCACTTTTTAATAAAGTTTAGTTTGAACTTTCACAGATAAACGCCTCTGAACGGTGTTCTAACAAAGTAGGAAGATGACCCACTGGCAGGAAACAAAAACAATCAGGGCTCTATTTACTGACAGAGGAGTGGGCGGGGCCTCCTACACGGCCAGACGGCTGAGAGAGAAGCAGGGGGCCCCTGGAGGACAAAGTACATGTTTAACAGAAACACAGATGGAAGAGGTGAGGTCGATCAAAAGAGAGGGAGTAGTCGTCAGATCTGCCAACAGTAAATATATTAACATAAAAGATATTCTGATCTCTTTTTGTTTCCTGCTCTGACTTTCTCTGGAGAGTTTTCTTTTATTACAAACGGAGTCAAACAGGAAATAGAAAAGTAAATAAATAAACTTCACCAAAACCACGAAAAGGAACCGTCTCACACACCTGTACGAGGTGACATGAAGACAGTATATGTGTGTTTACTGTCTGTGTATACAGTAAATACACATATACATATATATAAATAAATATATACATATATAAGTAAATATATAAATAAATATATACATATATAAATAAATATGTTACTGTATGTGTTTTTAAAGAAGAGACATCTTGTTTGTGAGTTTCAGTTTTGACAAAGTTTGAACTTTTTGTCAGTTTGTGTGTTTATGTAAAAATGAAATCTTCATGTTTGTTTTGTGTTTCGGAGTCACAGAAGAAGCTGCACACAGACAGTGACCTCTAGTGGTTAACATGATCAACTACATGTAAATGATTCTACTCCTCTTTCGTTTCATTATAAATTATATTCTTTATTAATTTATTCAAACCTCTTTTATGTTTAATATAAGTGTTCATTTTGAACCTTAATCTTAAAATAACCGGAAGTAAAAACTTTTAACAGCAGACGGAACGTTTCTCCTGCTATGTTGTTTCAGTCCGGACAGGTTTGGGAGGTGCACAGTTTAAGCGATGGGGGTGTGTGAGGAGCGTGGAGGAGGTGAGCTGCTCAGCGTGTTCTCTCTCTGTAATATCACACATTTATAAATAATATCATATTTAATATATGAGATATATTATAAACACAGTGACGTCATTTAAAGGTCAACGTGATTGCTATTTTAAGACCTGCGCGTGACGCTGCTGCGGAGCATGGTGTGTGTTTATTTATAGAGAGGAAGAGGTTAACAGGTGGTCGACAGGTTCATGTTTCTAATGTTTAGAATAACTATGATCAACATATCAAATATATCAAATATATAAATCTGCAGGTGACGCTGCTGAGTCTGTAAGGTTGAAGTTTGAAGTTTGGTGCTTTTACTTTGAAAGGATTGATCGATGATTAAAGGTCATCTCACTTGAAAGCTTCTGTCATCGATCGATATGAAAAAAAAAATGAACCCCTTAAAGTCCGACGAGAGAGTGAACACGTTTATAAATCTGTAAGAAACTTCCTGTCACATGTCAGTTTCCCCCGGGTCATGGCGAGGGGAAGGAAAAGTTACTGTTCTGTCGTGGTCACCAGGACCCCAGGGGACCGCTCTGAGGAGAAACTGTATCGATTAACGATTGTCAGCTGAGAAACTTAAACGACCTTTGTTCATGATTTTTAAATTAAAAGGTCCTGCACCTTTAAGGACTAACCTGTAAACTCTGCACCTTTAAGGACTCACCTGTGAACACTACGCACCTTTAAGGACTCACCTGTGAACACTACGCACCTTTAAGGACTCACCTGTGAACACTATGCACCTTTGAGGTCTCACCTGTGAACTCTGCACCTTTAAGATTCAAGATTTTTATTTGTCACATGCTCATACAGATGTGCAGTGAAATGTAAAGACTGTTCCGCAAGGCCATGCAATAAACACTCAAATGGCTAATACACATATATACAGTAAAATAGAATATAATGTAAAATTTAAAAAATAAATATTTGAATATACAAAATATAGAATAATGTAAACAGTGTAAAGTGTCAGTGTGTAAATTTTCCAGGGTGTCAAAGTGCAATGTGCAGATTGGAATGTGTGGTATGTGTGCATCATGCAGTCACAGTTCTGTTCATGTTTTTAACTGAGGAGAGTGGAGTTAACAGTCCGGACAACCTGAGGAAAGAAGCTATTCCTGAGTCTTTCTGTGTTCACCTTGATGTGTCGAAGGCGCCTGCCAGAGGGTAGCCACGTAAACAGTCCGTGACCTGGTTGGTGGGGATCACTCACTCCTCTTTGCCCTGGCTGTGCTCCTCCTTGTGAAGATGTCCTGGAGGGTGGGGAGTGTTGTACCCATGGTACGCTCTGCTGACTTCAGCACCCTCTGCAGGGCTCTTCGGTCACGTATGGTGCTGTTCCTGTACCACTGGGTGATGTTTCCAGTCAGCCCACTCTCCACCACTCCGGAATAAAAAGTCTTCAGGACCTTCACAGAGACTTTGAATTTCCTCAGCTGTCTGAGGTGATAGAGGCGCTGCCTTGCCCTCTTCACCTGACTGTCTATGTGGGTTGTCCATGTTAAATCCTTAGAGATGTGCACCCCCAGGTACTTGAAGCTGCACACCCTGTCCACCAGCGTCCCATCAATTCTCATTGGGGTGTAATCCCTCTGCAGTCCTCTCCTGAAGTCCACAATCAGCTCCTTGGTTTTGCTGACGTTCAGGAGCAGGTTGTTGTCCTGGCACCACTGTGACATGTTTCCAACCTCCCCTGTATACGTCTGCTCATCATTGTTGCTGATGCGACCAACAACTACTGTGTCATCTGCAAATTTCACGATGATGTTGGAGCTGCTTGTGGCCACACAGTCATGTGTGTACAGGGTGAAGAGCAGGGGGCTGAGGACACAGCCCTGTGGTACTCCGGTGTTGAGGGTGCAGGAGCTGGAGGTGTGTCTACCCACTCTGACCACCTGGGATCTGTTCGTCAGGAAGTCCAGGATCCAAGCATACAAGGAGGTGTTAAGTCCGAGGTTGATCAGCTTGGAATGGAGGTTGGCGGGGACTATGGTGTTGAAAATTGAACTAAAATCAATGAACAGCAGTCTCACATAGTCCCCCTTCCTTCTGTCCAGATGGGTGAGGGTGGTGTGCAGTACCTGGGAGACAGCATCATCTGTGGATCTGTTCAGTCTGTATGCAAACTGAAGTGGATCCAGAGACTCAGGGAGCAAGGAGCAGATTTGCATCTTGATGAGTCTCTCAAAGCACTTCATCACTTCTGAGGTGAGTGCTACTGGGCTATAGTCATTAAGGAAAGCTGGAGAGGCATTCTTTGGTACAATAATGGCTTTTCTCAGGCATGTGGGCACCACAGACTGACTCAGGGAGAGGTTGAAGATGGTGGTAAATACTGGAGCTAACAGGTTGGCTCAGGACTTCAGCACTCTGCCAGAAATACCATCTGGCCTGGCAGCCTTCCTGGCGTTTACCCTTTTTCAGTGTTCTCCTCACGTCGTGCTCTGACACAGTGAGTGGGTGTGAGTGTGCTGCTCCGACTTCGGAGATCCTGCTGGCTACATCAATTGGCATGCTAACGTTAGCGGTGCTAGTGTTAGCCTTGAATCACGCATAAAAGTCATTAAGTTCAACAACCAGAGCGGCGTCTGCAATTCCCGAGACATGGGCTCTTTTCCTGTAGTCAGTAATTGTCTGCAGTCCTTGCCACAAGCTCCTTGAATCACGCTGCTGGAACTGTGATTCCAATTTGTCCCTGTACCTCCGCTTAGCGTCTTTCACTGCTCGTCTCAGTCTGTAAGATGCCGCTTTGTATTCCTCCGTCCTGCCGGTGAGAAGTGACAAGTTGTATGAAGCGGTCCGTTCGTTCACAGCGGTGTGGATGGATTTATCCACCCATGGCTTCTGGTTTGGGAAAAACCGGACAGACACCATAGGAACGGCATCGCCTACCAGCGTTGCTATGAAGTCCGTCACAACTTCCGTAAACTCGTCTACGTCACTCGAGCTGGATTGGAACATGCCCCAGTCGACGTCATCCAGAGCGCCTCGCAGCGTAGCCTCTGATTGGTCGTTCCAGCGCCTAACCTGCCTAGTCACCACCTTTTAACATACAACTTTGCCTTACCTTGGCAAATGGTAAATGGCAGAATGGTCTGATTTACCCAGTGGCGGCAGGGAAGTCGCCTTGTAGCCCTCTTTGAATGGTGTGTAGCAATGATCCAGTGTATTGTTGCCCCTGGTGGAGCAAGTGACATGTTGGAAAAAGTTTCTTAAGGTTTGCCTTGTTAAAATCCCCAGCCACGATGAGGACAGCGTTCGGATGTTTGTTTTGGTGCCGGCACAGTACGTCATGCAGGTCGGATAAAGCTGTGTCCGTGTCCGCTTGTGGTGGAATGTAAACAGATGTAGCGATGACCGAAGTGAATTCCCGGGGGAGGTAAACTGGACGGCACAGGATGGTTAGGTGCTCCAGATGTGGCGAGCAGGAGTGGGAGAGAGTTTTAATGTTCTGTGGGTTACACCAGCTGTTGTTGGTCAAAACAAACCCCTCCACCCTTTGACTTGCCAGATTCCTCCGTCCTGTCCTTGCGAAACACAGAGAACGAGTCCGATGGCATGATGGCTTGATCCGGCACCACAGGAGTGAGCCATGTTTCCGTCAGGCAGATGATGTTACTGTCCCTCATGTCCCGTTGGTATTTTACCCGACCCCTCAGATCATCCATCTTGTTATCCAGGGACTGCACGTTGGCAAGAAGGATGCTTGGCAGGGGTGGGCGGTGGGCCTGAGTTCTTAGCCTGTTTCGGACACCACCTCATCTTCTGCGGTGCTTTTTCCTCCTCCGGCCATTGTTCCCGTCCTGTGTTGTGTTACGCAGGAGTTCAACTGGCAACCACTGATCATCGTTGTAACAACTGGAAACTGTGTTTGCAACCAGTCTCTTTATGTACAAATGCGTATTTCGGTCATAAGTTATCTATGCTGAAAGAGCTGATGTAAAAAAGTTCACAAAAACAACATAAATAAAGAAAAAAACACAGCCTCAGCTGAGCAACCCGGACGGCGTCTGGACACGGCCGCGCCATCTTGATTAAGGACTGACCTGTGAACTCTCTGCACCTTTAAGGACTCACCTGTGAACACTCTGCACCTTTAAGGACTCACCTGTGAACACTCTGCACCTTTAAGGACTGACCTGTGAACTCTCTGCACCTTTAAGGACTCACCTGTGAGCTCTCTGCACCTTTAAGGTCTCACCTGTGAACAGGGTAGGGTCCGTTTCCACAGCAGACGGAGCGCACATATCAGACCATCAAGTCCTCGCTGCTGGTCACTTCAAGGCAATCGCTCCTAAATTTGTAACGACCTTAACGACCTGCGTTAATGACGTGTTCTCCTCATCTGTTTAGAGTCAGCTGACTGATGACATCACACTGTGACATCATCAGCGATGGATCAGATCACCTTCCATCATGACACCGTGCTGTCAGACGTTCACCTGCTGCTGCCCAACACACGCCACCTGATGACCCGCCTCAACACCGTCGGACAGCCAGGTGTGTGCGTGCGATTTATGAGCCTGAATTAGAACATGTTTTCTCTGTGCGTGTGTGTGTGTGTGATTTATATGAGCCTGAATGTGTCATTAATCCAAAGTACGACTTTGATAAAGATATTACAACATGTTTTCTGTGTGTTTCAGTGTTTGTGTCTAAATTTAAGATCCTGTCAGACGAGGAGAGAAGAGATGAAGGAGACAGAGGAGGAGTAGGAGACAGAGGAGGAGACAGAGAAAGAGACAGAGGAGAAGGAGGAGAAGGAGGGGACAGAGAAGGAGACAGAGGAGGAGGAGGAGGAGGAGGAGCAGTGGAGACTCTTCTGGATGAAGATGGAGATCTGGATGTCACTCATCGGTATGAAAAAAAACTGATCAGCTGATTTAGATTGAAACCAGCTCCACTGTGACCTCACACTGTTCACCCTCCTCTCCTCATGGGGGCGCTGCAGCCGCACACACACACACACACACACACACACAGCGTAATCGAATCGTTTGTCTTGGTGTTTATTAGATGTTTATTTATATTTATTTGATTTGACAGACGGAGGAGAGAGAGTTCAGAGACGACCAGAGAGCTCGTCTGTGCCGTCATCCTCAAACACTCTGACTCTGTGATCCCTGAAGAAGACGACGAGGACGAGTGTTTGAACGACTTCATAAAGATCGGTCTGAGCTCATCTTCTCTTATTGATCACTTCATGTTTGTTTGACTGTTAAAAACACGTTTCCTGTTTCTCCTCAGAGCACACAATGGCCACTCGTCTGGAGGACGTCGGAAAACAGGTCAGAGATAATAAATCATCATTATTACTGTGTGTTCCATCAAAACCATCAACACATTCAAACTGTACCACTATCCCAACACTTTCAAGACGTCGGGTTGCTCTACACTAACCCGTAAAAACCCTCCAAAGGGAGGCGACCAGGAGGATCCCGATGATCCACCTTACCTGGAGCAGCGGCTCTACTCTGAGCTCCTCCCCCTGAATGTCTAAGCTCCTCCCCCTGAATGTATAAGGGCGGGGTCACACTGGCCATCTGTACCATGCCGTACTCGAGCGCGATTGGCCCCCCGCTGGCCGGCACATCGGAGAACTCAGAGAACATGACGGTTACTTTGAGTCAGCTACAGACAGGCTGACCCTGAGCACGTCACGGAGCGCTCACACTGGTCAAACTAACTGGACTTTCTCTGACTCTCTCCTCAGGTGTGGGAGGAGCCTGGTCCAGGTAACAGTGTGTTAATGTATGTCTGACTTTCCTCAGGTGTGGGAGGAGCCTGGTCCAGGTAACAGTGTGTTAATGTATGTCTGACTTTCCTCAGGTGTGGGAGGAGCCTGGTCCAGGTAACAGTGTGTTAATGTATCTCTGACTCTCTTCTCAGGTGTGGGAGGAGCCTGGTCCAGGTAACAGTGTGTTAATGTATGTCTGACTTTCCTCAGGTGTGGGAGGAGCCTGGTCCAGGTAACAGTGTGTTAATGTATCTCTGACTCTCTTCTCAGGTGTGGGAGGAGCCTCGTCCAGGTGTGTGTTAATATGAACTGAGTTCCTGTGTTTCTCTCTCTCTCCTCAGGTGTGGAGGGGGGCGTTTCTCCTAGCTGACTTTATCCTCTCTGACCCGCTCCTCTTCACAGGAAGTACCGTCCTGGACCTGGGGGCAGGAACAGGATTAACAAGCATCGTCATGGCCACCACCGCCAAAACCGTCTACTGTACAGGTACGTATATATATCTATTCAAACAAGGTTTGAACTTTTCTTAAAACTCTTATTTGCTGATATTTGATTTTCTCATCATGTGATGCCCTGCTCACCTGGTCACACCCCGCAGCTCAGGGTGCAGTCTTTGGGATCTGGGTCATTTTGAAAGAGTTCATAGAAAGTTAAAGTGTAGGGCATTACCTCAGTCGGTACCCTCCGACAGTTCAGTGGGGCTCAGATTAGTACAGGGTCTGGCCCCCGAGAGGGACTGGCTTCTGGCTTTAGTTGTACCAGAGCCTGTGGTGAGGACAGGCAGCCTGGACACTATCTGCCGGGGTCGCTTGCTGATACCCATGATGCCCTGCGGTTTTCAGTCCCAGCTGGAGAGCAGAAGCAACAACCAATGTGGTTCTGCATTCATGAATACGTTCTGGATGAAGACAGCCCGAGGCTTATGATGTGCAGAACTGGACCTTCAGTCCTGTCCTGAGATTTAATCCTCAGTGCACTGCAGCATCCTTTTTTGAGCCACTTGGGCATGTAGTCTCAGAATGGCTGTCCTTAAAAGTTGCATTCTACTAGCCGTCACTTCTGCCAAAGGGTTAGTTGCGGGGTCGCCAGAGGGGTCAAACTTAGTCTTTTGGCCCGATCTAACAGTCCTGCCTACGGTCTTGTCTGAGTTCCCCCTCTCCCAGGTGGTAGAGCTACGGTCGTTGTTTCCTTGTGGTCCAGCAGCACCAGTTTGTCTTGTACCCAGCTTGGGCCTTGACCGAGTAAACCTGGTCTTCAGAGTGTCTGATTAGCTCTGGACCCTCGATAAAGTCTTGTCTGCTCACAGGGTTGTTGATGCTATCCAGCATGTTTCAAAGTGTGTGCTCTTCGGTGTGCCTTGCCCATCAGGGGGGACATTCAGGGATCTCATGGACGTTGTGGTAAGGAGCTTCACTTGCTGCCTATGTGCAGCTGCCACATGGTCATCCAAGTCTACGCTTTCTGAGCTCTACAATCTTGAGCGGCCTCCCCCTCTTAGGGGAGTAGTGCTGGGTGTACTTTGGTAGACTAGGAGGCTCCCTTGGTCAGTCTGGTGAATGCGGGTAGCCTCAAGTGGCCTTTCTGTTCAGGGGTGTGCTGGGTCCTTTGGTCTAGTTCTTGGATAGGTCTTGCCCCTTGCAGATCGACTTACCCAGCCACTTGGTTTTTATGGCCTTTCCCTGGTTGGCATGGCAACTGTGCACATTGGTGTTTTGGATTGTGGACTGCACAGTGTCCTCGCGGGGTGTCTTAGAGACTTACCCCGTACATGTAACAGGGTGGAGAGAGGGTTACATTGTAACCTTGGTTCTCTGAGTGAGGAGACTATCTCTCTGCCCTTTAAGCCGCTCGCTGACAGGTTCCCATGAAGCTATCAGTGTTTACACGCCAGCACAGGCTCTCTATAGATGAGCTGCGAGCAGGGATCATATCCTATGATGTAACAGGTTGCCACTCAGACAATGCTACACTGCTACAATGCTACACTGCTACAATTCTACAATGCTACAATTCTACAATGCTACAATGCTACACTGCTACAATACTACACTGCTACACTGCTACAATTCTACAATGATACAATGCTACACTGCTACAATGCTACAATTCTACAATGCTACACTGCTACACTGTTACAATTCTACAATGCTACAATTCTACAATGCTACACTGCTACAATACTACACTGCTACAATGCTACAATTCTACAATGCTACACTGCTACAATTCTACACTGCTACACTGTTACAATTCTACAATGCTACAATTCTACAATGCTACACTGCTACAATACTACACTGCTACAATGCTACACTGTTACAATTCTACAATGCTACAATTCTACAATGCTACAGTGCTACACTGCTACAATTCTACACTGCTACAATGATACAATGCTACACTGCTACAATGATACACTGCTACATTGATACAATGCTACAATTCTACACTGCTACAATGATACAATGATACACTGCTACAATGATACAATGATACACTGCTACACTGATACAATATTTGGTGTTAAATGAAGCACAGCAGAGACAGTTCACCTGTTCCAGGTAATAAAGTCAAAGTAGAAGCTGTGTGATATGAAAGGGTTTGATGTTTGATTGACAGATGTCGGAGACGACCTTCTGAGCATGTGTGAGAGAAACGTGACGATAAACAGACACCTGGTGGAGCCCACAGGTAAGGTTACTTAATATGATATAATAAAATAAATACAATAGAGAATAAAAGAAAACATCACATTATTTCTCTATTTCTACTTTATTCTGAAGGCGGCGAGGTGAGAGTGAGACGACTTGATTGGCTCCAAACAGACCTCTGTACAGGTAACACACACACCTCCTCTATCTCTGTCTCCCTCTCTCACTCCTCTCTCTCCCTTTCTTTCTCTCTCTCTCTCCTCTCTCCCTCTCTCTATCTCTCTCTCTAACATCCTCTCTTCCACTCTCTAACCTCCTCTCTCTCTATCTCTCTCTACCTCTCTCCTCCTTTCTTTCTCTCTCTCTCTCTATCTCTAACCTCCTCTCTCTCTCTCCATGTTGTAGACTGTGAGGAGGAGTTTAGCTGGACTGAGGAGGAGGTGTCTCATCTGTACGATGACACGTGCTTCATTATGGCTGCAGACGGTGAGTGAGAGAGAGAGAGTGACAGGTTACCTGCTGAAGGTGAGAGAGTGACAACAACAACGATACAGTATGGTCAAAAGTTTGTGTGTGTGTGTGTTTTCAGTGTGCTATGATGATGATCTGACAGACGGACTCTTCAGGACTCTCTACAGACTCTGCAGCACCTTCAACCACACCTGCACCATCTTCATCTCCATGGAGAAAAGGTGACAACAGATTTTACCTGTGTTCATGTCTCACCTGTGTTCATGTCTCACATGTGTTCATGTCTTACCCGAGTTCAGGTCTAACCTGTGTTCATGTCTCACCTGTGTTCAGGTTCAGTTCTCACCTGTTTTCATGTCTCACGCATCTTTCAAACGATGTAACGAGTTACACACACACCTGTGGTCGTGTGTTTAGGAACACACACCTGGTGCATGGCAGGGGGTCTAGGTCAGACTCACTGATCATGTTTCCTCTCAGACACAACATGGACGTCTCTCAGGTGTGACCTGCTCTACATCACCTGTTTACCTGTTTGGTATTAATCAGGTGTGTTTATTGATGTTTCCTCTCAGACTGAACTTCACCCTCAGACACATGGACGTATCATGTGAGGCGTATGATCACTTCAGACGGTGTCTCTCTGAACTGAACGACCTTCAGGACGGACGCTGCAGCTTCACTGTCACTCAACTTCAAACAGACTTCAACCAGTTTCTGATCTACGAACGCATCCAGCAGCTGGTAACCAAAACACGTCACACACACACACACACACACACACACACACACACACACACACACACACACACACACACACACACACACACACACACACACACACACACACACACACACACACACACTGTGATTCATGGTATATTAACCCTTTATTAATCAGATACTGATTGATGTGTCCAGGAGCTGTGGAAGGTGACGTCCTCTCCTCTACATCATCAGACCGGCTCTGAACCAGATCGGCCCCAAGCAGCGACCTCGTCTGTTAAAATATGAAGCTGATGCTGAAGTGTATAAAATCCTGCAGTTCCTCGAGTGTCCACTAGACTGTACGGGGGGGGTGGATGTTTTGATGACTCATCAGTTTTGATTTGATGAAGGATAAGAGTTATTCACAATAACGCGTGTAGCTGACCTGATTGACAGGTGGGCGCGGTGTAACGGTTTGTCAGGAGGTTTAAAACCCCCTCAGCTCCAGCTCTCAGCCTGTCGTTAGATTGACTGAAAGTCAGACTGAGACAGCATTTCCAGCATGGAGACCGCCATCGATGGGACTCCTGCGCCCCCTGCAGGAACAGACGGGGAGACTCAGGCTTCAAACTTTAATATTCACAGTCTATGACCGGCCCCCTTCCTGACCAGGAGCCACAGGTTGAACCTCATGTTGCCTGGAGGTTTGAATGAGTCAGATGTGTAGTGTTTGTGACGTGATTGATTTTATCAACGTTTATTTATTTATTTATTTGTTTATTTATTAGTTTGAACAGGAACATGTGGAAGAGGTTGAACTGCAGTTTGTTTTAGTGTTCAAAGTTTGAATAAAAGTTTAATCTTCATCATGTGTTTAAAATCTTTAAAGAACTATAATCTGAGGAAGAGGAGGGGAGGAGGAGAGGGAGAGAGAGGAGGAGGAGGAGGAAGATATATAATCATGATATAAAGAATCATGCTAACCTTGTTATAGCTGATTGAATTAGCATTTAAATACAACAACCTCACATTAGCTTTGAACAGTTAACACATTGACATGACCGTACCCATTAGCGCTAATTAGCATAATGCTAACAACATCGCGACTAGCTCGCTGAAGTGGCCTTAGCTCCGTGATGGCGGTGATTCAGCACAGAGTCAGATAAATAAGAAAATATTATTTCTCCTCTCACCAAGTTTATGGATCTCATGTAACAAAGTGTGAGCGAGCGCGGGAGTGAGAAGGTGTGGCCTGAGCGAAGGCTAGCTGATAGTCGATTGGTCGGACTAATAGAGTTCACCGATTGGCTAACATGCAAACTCATCAAATCACTCAAAGACAACAGAAAGTTAACCCTTAGTGACTTGGATAGGATTGTATTTGTTATGTTTCAATCTTTAGGCATAAAAATATTTCTAACCATCTTTCAATAACTTTATATCGTGAGTTACACCTCCACTACATATATACATGTATTCTTTTCAGAATAAAAGGAATGTTTTTCAAATTAAAGTGAGTAAAGTAAACCTTTATACCTAAAGAACCATGAAAGTGTTTTATCTTCTGTTCCAACTTTATAATAACAGATAATGTGAAGCATCTGCTCTTCGTTTCCAGATGTTTTATAAACCATCTCTTAAAGGTTATAAATCATTAAGTCATTAACTTTATTAAAGATAGATTATAATGAGTGCCTCAATAAACTGTTAACATAAGATAAATGATAGAAAACATTATTAACTATCATTTAATTGTTTGTTACATAACTATTAACGAAATGTTCATTAACTATCTATTAGACACAAGGGGTCTTGCATTTATAATCGCCATTACCTCTGCCATGAATGTGCTCAGTACTTCATGAGTGAGACGTGTTGGCCCTGTCTGAAGCAACATTGCATCCAGTATGCGTCTGGAAACTCTGATGAGCCGCTCCCAGGAGCCACCCATGTGAGAAGCATGAGGTGGATTAAACACCCAAGAGCATCCTTTGCCATGGAGGTAAGTCTTGACTGCAGAGTTATCTGTGTTTATGTCCAACTCCTTACAAGCTCCAACAAAGTTAGTCCCTCTGTCTGACTTGAGAAGTTTTGCTGGACCACGTACAGAGAAAAACCTCCTTAGGGCATTGATGAAACTGTCTGTGGACATAGTTTCAATCAGTTCAATATGAACTGCTCTGGTTGACAAGCATGTGAAGAGCACTGCCCCAGCGCTTGCTGTCAGCACTTCCTCCTCTGGTGTGACATGTCATGATAAACCATGGCCCAAAAACATCAAGACCAACAGTGGTGAATGGAGGTTCTGGAGTAAGCCTGTCAGTAGGCAGATCTGCCATCTTTTGGTCCTCGAGCCTCCCTCGGAGTTTGCGGCAGATAACACACTTGTGGATTACAGACACCAGACGTTTACTCCTCACTATCCAGTATCCAGCTGCTTGGATAGCTCCCTCTGTAATGTGTCTTCCTTGATGAGCTACTTGTTCATGAAAGTGTCTCACAAGTAGTGTGGAGATGTGATGAGTGTGTGGAATAATTAGTGGGTGCTTTTCTTCATTTGAAAGGTCAGCAGAAGAAAGAAGACCTCCAACACGAAGCACACCATCTTGATCCACAGCTGGATTTAGCTTCTTGAGTGTGTTTTGTTTGTCGCATGTCTATTTACCTTTAAGACTTTTCAGCTCTTCCTTAAAAGCTTGATGCTGGACAGAACAAATTATCACAGCTTTGGCCTGTAAAAGCTCACTTGTGCTGGACGACTCTGTGAAACATTTCCATCCTTTTCTTTCAGCATCGTTAAACACTCCTTTGTAAGATGCAGCAACATGAATGAGTTTGGCTATGATTTGATTAAGTGTTCTCCAGCTTGAGCATCTCTGAAAGTGTTGTGATCCCAAGTGGGACTCGGATGCCTTGGTAGCCAGAGTTGTGACTTCAGGACGAATCTCGTCATCAGTTTCAGGCTCAACAAGGGTGAAAAAAGCAGCTTCAGGTGTCTCATCTGCCCTGTCATGATACAGGAAAGCTGGTCCTGTGAACCAGTTGCTGTTTTGAAGTTGAGCTGCTGGTATAGACCGTGTTGCATAGTCTGCAGGGTTCAGTTCTGTTGGTACATAGTACCACTGGTTGGGATGAGTGGATCTTCTCATCCGAGTGATTCGGTTGGAAACATACATGTAAAACCGTTTTGTGGTGTTGTGAATTTATCCAAGAACAATTTTACTGTCAGTGAAAAACTTCACAGTGTCAACCTCAATGTCTAGCTCGTCCCTGATCAGTACATAAAGTTCAACAGCTAGCACAGCTGCACAGAGTTCAAGATGTGGAACTGTGTGGGCAGGACGAGGGGCCAGTTTTGACTTCCCCATGACGAATCCAACATGGTATTGTCCCTCATTGTCTGCAGCTCTCAAATATGCCACAGGTCCTATGGCTACTGTCGAAGCATCTGAAAAGATGCAGAGTTCCTTTCTGAGTAGAAGACAGTGAAACTGGAATGTAACACCTCTGTAAAGGCAAGTCTTCAAGAGCCTCCAAAGAATCTTTCCATTTGTTCCATTCAATTTCCTTTTTTGGATGGAGAGGAGCATCCCATTCACTCTGTTCAGATGACAACTCTCGCACTAGTGACTTCCCTTGCATTGTTATGAGCGCAACAAAGCCCAAGGGGTCATACAAACTGTTGACTGTTGACAACACACCTCTTCTTGTGAAAGGTTTCTCTTTGCGGGACACAACGTAAGTAAACCTGTCTTTTTCTAAGTTCCAGGAGAGCCATAGACTCCTCTGAAGAGGAAGAGGATCCACTCCAAGGTCCAGGTCCTTTAGATCCTTTGCACGGTCTTCTGCCGGGAAGGCTTCCATTACCTGACTGTTGTTTGATGCCACTTTGTGCAGGCCCTAAGTTCAATTCAATTTGAATTCAATTTTATTTGTATAGCGTCAACTCATAACAAGTGTTATCTCAAGACACTTTACAAAAAGCAGGTAAAAGACCTTACTCTTTGTCTGTTAACATTACAAAAGAGCAAGTAAAAAGACCTTACTTATTGTTATGTTACAAAAAGCAGGTAAAAGACCTTACTTATTGCTATGTTGGATTCTGCCAACACCTCTCTTGTTCGTGTGAAGAGATCTATTGCCTCTTCAGGAGTTGCCACTGATGTAAGACCGTCATCTACATAAAACTGTCTTTGAACAAACTTTCTTGCATCAGAACCATGTTCCTGTTCATCATTTTGAGCTGCGCGTCTCATGCAGTAGATAGACACAGCAGGCGAAGGGCTGTTTCCAAATACGGGGACCTTCATCCTGTATTCAACCACATTCTTGGTGATGTCATTGTCCTCATACCAGAGATATTGCAGATAATCCCTGTGGTCTTCTCGTACAATAAAGCAATAGAACATTTGCTGCACATCTGCTATAAGGGCTACAGGTTCTTTCCGAAACCGCAAAAGGACCCCTAACAAGGTGTTGTTCAAGTCAGGTCCGCTAAGCAAGACATCACTGAGAGAAGTTCCATCACATTCAGGGCTTGAATCAAACACAATCCTTATTTCACCAAGCTTCTGAGGGTCGTAAACCCCAAATGTTGGCAGATACCAATGTTCTTTACCTTTGTCTAAAGGTGGAGCAGGCTCAGCTTGATCGTTGTCTAGCATCTTTTGCATGAACTTGACATAGTGATCTTTCATTTCTGGCTTTTTCTCCAGAGTTCTCCGTAGAGAACAGAGACGTTTAAAAGCTTGCTCTTTATTGCTCGGCAGGCGTCGTCTTGGAGAGCGAAATGGCAGAGGCGCCACCCAGCTGTTACCTTTATCCTGGTCGACTTCTGCATCCATAATGGCCAGAAAATCTTTATCATCTATGGAGAGTGCAAGAGTATCATCATTCTTGGACCTTTCAAAAACCGAACCTCCTAGGTTGTCAGTTGTCAAGCTGAGACTTGCTTTCACATCAGATGCAGGATGACCCTGTTTCATGACCCTGTTTCATTTCGCTGTAGTTTTCCTTAATGTAGATACTTTGAGGACATGGCTTGAAAAAGGATGTCCGACCGTTGTACAGTATGTTTGTTTTGTAAACATTGACCTCTGATGGTTTGTGAACTGTCCCCAAGCACACTTCTCCCCGTTGATCTGCTCTCGAACCTTATACACCCGAAGAATGTGTCTAAATGTGTCTGTGTCCTAAGAGAAGGAGGATCGGAGCATCTTCGTCTACAGGTTGAATCTTGTTAGCAACTGACTGTAAGTGTGGCTGATGTTTTGCAGTCTCTGTTTCATCATGTTAGCTTCTTTTTTCAGCGTATGCAAGTTGAGCCTTTGCAGCTTTTGCCTTGGCATAGGCTTTCGTAGCTGAAGAGACTGTTGATGATGAACGCTGAGAGGTTCTTGTTGTTGCTCTAGATAACTGTGACTTTGCATCAAATGTTTGATCGAGCTTTGGCTGATTTAATGTTTGTTGCTGTCCGCTAGCTTCATTTTGTAGCACAGTGGTGTTATCCTTACTGTAATTCCGTCCAGAGCGTAGACTCATGTTTGCTGAGTATTGTTTTCGAATGCTTAAGCCCGCTGTAGTATTGTCTTTTTACTGTACTGCCCTTTCTGCACGTTCCAATGTACAGGATTTGACAGCCAGATAACACTCAAACAAAAGTCCTCCAATAAAAACACAAGGCTTGTCTTTTCTTGATTTTACTTGAGTTCCTTTCTTTTTGTTTTGTTTTTGTAAAACTGCAATATTACAAAGGGAATAACAATATTTCAGTACAGATAACAAGTATACATTTACAAAGTATAAGCATTGCTATCTAAATTCAAGCAAGCACAGAAATGCATAAAAATGTTATTTCAACACAAAGCTACATGCTATCATAACCATGAGGAAAACAGTTAGATACTACATTTAGCATTAGCTAAGAGCACATGAAAGACAAAAACAACTAAAAGTTTCTGACTTGAATTTCGTGTTAATATCTCGACATTTTTATAATGAACTGAACATAAAACTTACAGACAAATGGTCTCCAAGGCAGAAGCGTAGCAGCAACATGCATCCTCTGTCTCTCTCTGTCCTTCTGACTGCTTCACTGCAGCATGTGACTTAATGAACTAACTACCTACAATGACCATAGATGGCAGTATAAACCATGAACTAATGTAAAAATGAAATGTTTTTAATCTTTTAAATATAACTTTTTATGACCACTTTTATTGACTAACATTTTTAACTTAATTCAAATTACTGACTTCAAAATAAAGCAGCACATAACCCTTTATTTGGTCTGCTCAGTTTTATTTCTCAGAGGAGATTATTCCAACAAACATCAATAAAGTTATATTTGGAGGCCTGTCCCTTTAAGGGACCAGATCTAAAGAACATGAAAAGAACAACTGATAATCCATTTCTAAAAAAGACTGTTGTCATATGGTATAGAGCGCACCAGCACATCAAAGATACCCCCGCCATCTCTCGTTTCCCCCCGATCTGGGGTAATATATATTTCAGGGAGAGCAGATGGAGGTCTCAGAATATGGGCAAACAAAGGAGTGCAAAAAATAGAGGACCTTTATAAAAATGTGTCAGACATACTGCTTCTTTAAATTAAATTATATTATACTTATATTATATATTATATTACACACACACAAACACACACAGTGTGTCAGACATACTGCTTCTTTAAATTACATTATATTATACTTATATTATATATTATATTACACACACACAAACACACACAGTGTGTCAGACATACTGATTCTTTAAATTACATTATATTATATATTATATTATCATTTTATTATACATGATGTTATTATAAAGTGTTACCAAAACGTTGAGCATAAAGTCTCCCTCCTCACACACACACACACACAGTCACACACAGACACAAACACACACACACAGTCACACAAAGACACAAAGACACACACAGTCACACACAGTCCGGAGGTCTGTCCCTTAAAGAGGAACGGAGGCCTGTCCCTTTAAGAGGACCTGAGGCCTGTCCCTTTAAGAGAAACGGAGGCCTGTCCCTTTAAGAGAAACGGAGGCCTGTCCCTTTAAGGGGACCGGAGATCTCAAAACATTAAAATATTCAAATCAATGCAAATAATGTGTGCGTGTTGTTTCATTCTCACATTTACATCTGACCTTCCTGTAACTTTACAGAAACACACACAGTCACACACACACACACACACACACACACACACACACACACACACACACACACACACACACACACAGACAGAGTGAGTGAGACTAAAGACACAGGTGAGACTAAAGAGACACAGGTGAGACTAAAGAGACAGGTGAAGGGGCAGGAAGAAACACTAAACACGACAAAGAGGGAAATAAACTACAAGATAAAATAGGAAACACTGAACTCATGATGATCATCAGAAACATAAACAGGAAGCCGAAGAAATAAACGACAAAATAAAACTAAACAATGAAATCAACTCAAGAACTGAATGGATGTTAAATCATCTCTGATATATTTAGATATTTATTATATGATAATAATAATAAATATATATTTATTTAAGATGACTAATGTTTTAGCTTCATATCGTTTGCACGTGAACACTGAGCTGGATATAAATAAAGGTTTGTTAAAAAAGAGAGAGAGAGAGAAAGAGAGAGAGAGAGAGAGGGAAAAACAGAGAGAATAAGCCCCGCCCCTCCCCCGCCTCAGTAAAACCAAGCCTGTGTGTGTGTGTGTATGTGAGTGTTTGTGTGTGTGCTGTCTCAGTCCCTATGTGTCTCTCAGCCTGTCTGATTTCCCTCTGAGCCGCGGGATCGAACCAGCTGCAGACTCCGGTCCTCTGTCGGTAAGTGATCCTCTGACTGTCCGCTGACTCGCCGTGATTCACCGGCTGAGCTCCCTGAGGCTCCGCTACTCTCCGTGTGTGTGTATGTGTGTGTGTGTGTGTGTGTGTGAGTGTGAGTGTCTGCAGCTGGAGCGGGATGTTTATGCGACCAAAACGACCCCGAACATTACCTGCAATCAGCTGATCAGGTATCGGACCACCTGATCAATAACATGATTGATAAGCTGACAGGTTAGAGCTGCTCAGAACCGGTCCGAGCCGGAACCTTCAAAGAGCAAAACACCGACCAAACATTGAGCTCGATCCTGCAGACTGTTATATACCAGGCTGCAGCGAGGTGTTACTAAACTCACCGATGGATCCATCTATGCTTGTAACGATTCATCAATCCATCGATCTGTTTTTAATCACTTCTAAAAGTGTTTATTTAAATGTTTAACTTCAAATCCTGCTGCAGACTGTTACATACCAGGCTGCAGTGAGGTGTTACTAAACTCACCGATGGATCCATCTATGCATGTAACGATTCATCAATCCATCAATCTGTTTTTAATCACTTCTAAAAGTGTTTATTTAAATGTTTAACTTCAAATCCTGCTGCAGACTGTTACATACCAGGCTGCAGCGAGGTGTTACTAAACTCACCGATGGATCCATCAGTTTTTAATGATTGAATGAAAGTATATGTTGGATCTTAAAAAGATGAAGTGTGACAGAGATCAGTAACATGACTGTTACTGAACTCAATAAAATATTATGTGATTATTTATAAATGATGAATTATCATTTATAATTAATTTAATATTGTATTGAAATAATCTGAATTTTTATTCTCCTAAAAAAATTGTTGTTTTTATAAGAAATGTATCTGACAGGAGGTAAAACACCAGTTAGTTCCAGTCTGCAAAGGGGGGAGATGGGGTGGGAGGGAGAGAGAAAGGGGGGGTGGGAGGGAGAGAGAGAGAGGAGAAAGAGGGGGGTGGGAGGGGAGAGAAAGGGGGGTGGGAGGGGAGAGAGAGAGAGAGTCACTTGAGTTCTCATTAACATCAAAGAGAACTTACTTAGCCCTCATCAACACACACACAGAAGAGAGTATTTTGTTTTATGAAGAACCAATGGGAGCAGCAGGAGGAGGACGTTTTTTTATCTGCATCCCAAACTTTATTTCATCACAACATTTGACAGGTTTGTGTTGTGGGGGGGGGGGGGCTTCAAAATAAAACCCTGGCCTTCAAAATAAAACACTCTGATAAGCAGTTAGTATGTTAACATGATGATAAAGACAGATACAGATGTGTTACTCTAACAGAAAGCTATGTGGCGCTGTACCCCTTTCAACACGTGGTTATAGAGCTACTTCCTGGATACCTCACAGCAACAACAAACTATCTGGCGGCATCAGATCAGGGGGGGAGAGTTCTCAGGTGACTCAGACAGGTGCTCAGTGATCTGTTTGTGTCAGTGCAGCTCAAACACTTTGTATTTCGGTCAACAATAAATATGTATTTGCTTCCCTTGTTGTATCCATGCTTCACAGTGAAACAAAGGATCCATAGAATGAAACATCTTTAATCATGTTTGTCGTCTGTGTTTCAGAGCGCTGTGACCATCCTTACACAACGTGTGCTCGTTTCATCTTTAGCCATCTTTTGATTAAACTTGTGACATCATACAGGTAAATATATGTAAAACCTGTTACTCTGTCTTTTCTAAACACAGTCACAGCTGACACACAGGTAAACAACAACATGACTTCCTACTGTGCTCAGAATAACCATATTACACATTTATAACTATATTACACATTTATAACCTATTACACATTTATAACCATATTACACATTTATAACATATTTATAACTATATTACACATTTATAACATATTTATAACTATATTACACATTTATAACATATTTATAACTATATTACACATTTATAACCATATTACACATTTATAACATATTTATAACTATATTACACATTTATAACCATATTACACATTTATAACATATTTATAACTATATTACACATTTATAACTATATTACACATTTATAACCATATTACACATTTATAACTATATTACACATTTATAACATATTTATAACCATATTACACATTTATAACCATATTACACATTTATAACTATATTACACATTTATAACATATTTAGAACCATATTACACATTTATAACATATTTATAACTATATTACACATTTATAACATATCTATAACTATATTACACATTTATAACTATATTACACATTTAGAACCATATTACACATTTATAACTATATTACACATTTATAACCATATTACACATTTATAACTATATTACACATTTATAACATATTTAGAACCATATTACACATTTATAACCATATTTATAACCATATTACACATTTATAACCATATTTATAACCATATTACACATTTATAACCATATTACACATTTATAACTATATTACACATTTATAACATATTTAGAACCATATTACACATTTATAACCATATTTATAACCATATTACACATTTATAACCATATTTATAACCATATTACACATTTATAACCATATTACACATTTATAACTATTTTACACATTTATAACCATATTAAACATTTATAACCATATTACACGTTAATAACTGAGCGCCTCTGTGTTGGGTTTTCCCTGGTGAATGAGAGGGTCACCTCTCTGAGACTTCAGATTGATTGTTGGGTGTGCATATGCAGTTCAGATGGTTGAGGTTGGGGGCATGGAGTCCGAGTGGTCCATGTTCAAAGCCTCCATTGTGGAAGCGGCTGCTTGGAGTTGCAGTCAGAAGACCATCGGTGGGGTGCTGGTGGCGCAGTGGTTAGTGCGCGCGCCCAATGTACGGAGGCTGTACTCCTCAACGCAGGCGGCCCGGGTTAGAATCCAGCCTGTGGCTCCTTTCCCGCATGTCAATCCCCTCTCTCTCTCTCTTTGATTTCCACTTATATCCACTGTCCTATCTCTCCATTAAAGGCACAAAAGCCCAAAAATAAATCTTGAAAAAGAAAAAAAAAAAAGACCATCGTTGTGTCTGTCGTGGTGGCAACCTAAGAACCCACTGGTGAACACCAGTTGTGAAGGAAGCCGTCAGGCGGAAGAAGGAAGCTGTTGGGGTTTGGTTAGCCCAGGGGTCTCTGGAAGCAGCTGACAGGTATCAGGTGGCTCGGAGGGTTGTGGCTTCAGTTGTTGCGTAAAGCAAAAACCTGGGTGTGGGAGGATTCGGGAAGGCTATGGAGAAGGACTTTTGGATGGCTTCCAAAAAGGTAAACCATCTGATTGCTCAGTAACTGAAAGTAGGGCTAAGGTTAGCTATGGGCAGTGACCGTGTCTGGGCTGAGCTGGAGTAGAACCGCTACTCCTTTGCATTGAAAGGAGCCAGTTGAGGTGGTTCATGCCTCCTGGTCGCCTTCCTTTGAAGGTTTTCTGGACATGGAATCCCCCAGGAGGAAAACGCTGCTGGGGAGAGGGAAGTCTGGGAAGACTTACTGCGCCTGCTGCCTCCCAACCTCGGAAAAGCTGAAGAAGATGGATGGTGTAATTTATATTATAAATGTATATTTATAACCATAATACACATTGAACACCCCCATATATCTGAATGGAATGATCCTTGTGCTCAATAGTCAGCCTGAGACTCTGATGAACTAATGGTGGAGGATTCGCAGAGAGTTCTTTCTGTGTGAGAGTCGATCGAACTCTGCTGACCGTCCGTATCAGAGCAGGCTCGCAGGTCAATAACATAAAACACACAAGAGTTACACAACTCTTTTTATCAATGAGGTCAGAGGAGGGCAGGACAGCACGCTTTATTCTGACTGTTTACACCTCAGACACACCTGAACAAGGCTGCAGTTAAAGAGAGTCAGGTAAACACCTAAACAGGTTAAAGTCTGCAGGTAAACACCTGAACATGTTAGTCTACAGGTAAACACCCGAACATGTTAAAGTCTGCAGGTAAACACCTGAACATGTTAAAGTCTACAGGTAAACACCTGAACATGTTAAAGTCTACAGGTAAACACCTGAACATGTTAAAGTCTACAGGTAAACACCTGAACATGTTAAAGTCTACAGGTAAACACCTGAACATGTTAAAGTCTGCAGGTAAACACCTGAACATGTTAGTCTGCAGGTAAACACCTGAACATGTTAGTCTACAGGTAAACACCTGAACATGTTAGTCTGCAGGTAAACACCTGAACATGTTAGTCTACAGGTAAACACCTGAACATGTTAGTCTGCAGGTAAACACCTGAACATGGTAAAGTCTGCAGGTAAACACCTGAACATGTTAGTCTGCAGGTAAACACCTGAACATGTTTTATATATTATTGTGTTTATTTTCTGTTTGTGGTTAGAATCAGGCTGAAGGCTGAGTTCAGTGAGCTCAGACTTTAGAACATTCTTCTGTTTAAACCAGGCTACACACACACACACACACACAGCTTTGTCTCAGTACTTTGAGTTCCTTGTGTTGCCATGGTGACAGGATGGATGGAGATGTCAGCTGAATGTTAACTCAGTTCTGAGATCATTTTCTCAGAGTGAAAAAACTCACAGTTTGACAATGACCTTTGACCCCAGACAGGAACAGTTTGACAGTGACCTTTGACCCCAGACAGGAACAGTTTTGACAGTGTGACCTTTGACCTCTCCTGGACTTCCACACAACACTGAAGAGGCGTGTCATCCACGACAGCCCAACAAAGTCCAGAACCTCCAGCATGAGAGTGTCATCCAGACCTGACACCCTGTTCAGTGACCTCTCGGAGAGGCTTCCCCTGGGGCCTCTGACTCCTCCTAGTAGCCGCTTCCACAATGGAGGCTTTGAACATGGACCACTCCAATTGGACTCATGGAAATCCCTTTGCTGGTCTTTGTTTTTGGCCAATAACAAAGCACCACTTGGGTTCAGATAGGGTAGGCCGTTCCTCCCTGTCACCTCCATTCAGGTGTCTCCATCGTTGCCCACAAGATGTTTGAGGTCCCCCAGTAGTACTATAGCGTCCCCAGCAGAACCCCTTCCAGGACCCCACCTAGAAACTCCAAGAATACCACTGCCTACACCTGCTGCCCAGTTTACACCTGACCCCCATGCCTTAACTGCAGGTGGTGGGCCCACAGGATGGTGGCTCCATGTTTTTCTTAAAGAACTTGTTGAAACTGACCGGGATCCCATGGAGGAAAGCCCGCCCACCAGACACTCGGCGTTGAGCTCCCCCCCAGGTCTGGCTCCAGAAAGGTGCCCCTGTCTCCCATTTCTGGGCGAGGTATCAGCGACTGACTGCTGTCTAAAGAGGTTTCTGAATCACAGCTGAGACCAGGGGCCACACCAATAAGAGTCCACTTCCTGTAACGTTTTATAATGAATCATCTTTAATGAACACTTCAGTCACCGTTGTGAGGGGAATTGATGTTCACTGGGTCTGATCAAACAGATGTTATCTCAGCTACGTTTGATACTGTTACTCGTTGAAATCACACAGATGATATCGTTTCAGAACACGCCGTTTCTCAAAGTATCAAACGCTTCGACACCCCTTACTCCGTAAATCATTCTAGAACATCCAGATTCACCCAGTCCCTCCAGCTGACCTGCATCTCTTCAAGACCCCCTCCTTTCCCCCTCACAGAGACCCCCGCACACAAAGAAATCTCCCTCCTCCTCCCCCTCCTCCTCCCCCTCCTCCAGGCCATATGAAGATGCAGTCTTGTGTAACTCTCACTCTCTAGACCAGTTTCATCCAGTTAGAGCTGTTGCCAAGAAACCGACTGCATGCCTCTGTGTGAGAGCAGATATCTGGAGCGTTCCTGTTCCTGCTGCCTGACTTACATAAGAGCAGACAGCTCATTTATTCTTTCACAAAACCTGTCAACAACAACACACACACAAACATGCACACTACTAAACTCACAATCAGAGACACGCTGAGGGGCGGGACTATCTCTTACATTACAGCGTTCATATTCATTCATGTATAAAAACGATGCTTTAGTTTGTTGTCACAGCCTGGTTTACTTTATTCTCCTCTCACTCTCTGAGGACGATTAATAATGTCTGATCTTCTTTTTTTGTTTTCTATTGGAGCAGTCAGACTCTAAAAGATCGTTACAGTCTAACCCCTAACCCACTTCAGACTCTAAAAGATCTTTAGAGTCTAACCCCTAACCCACTTCAGACTCTAAAAGATCTTTAAATTCTCAGTATTCCTGTTCAGAGATCTTCTCCCTCGCAGGTGTGTCTTCATCCTGCGCTATCTCAAAGTCCAGCATTTGTTTTCTAAACATGTGACCACATATGGAAAAGAGGGAGGGGCTGTGAGGAGACGCTCCCCTCTCAGCTCACTCTGAAAGTTAGAGGACGTTTCAAAAACAGTGTAAATGTGTTTTTTGAATGTTTGTCCAGCACTCAGCTTATTAACTGTGCCCCCCTCTCTCTGTAGGTGAGACCCTGAGGGCAGCTGCTCTCTCTCTCTCTCTCTCTCTCTCTCTCTCTGACTCTGCATCATGGCGTCCGGTCTGATCCGCCGTCACTTGGCTCTCTCTCTGCACAGGAACGTGAGGCTCAGCGCTCCAGGTAAATGAAGCTTCTCTTCCTTTTGCTCTAATGACCTTTAATGACCTTGTGAGACGAGTTATAGAGACTCAGCCCTCCGGCCCATTCTCTCCTCACTCTCTCTCCACTTACACACAAAATGCTGCTCAGTCACTCTGGAACATACCAACATGTCAGACCTTTTAAAAACATTATGAGGGTCATCTTTGTTCCGACCTCCAGCAGGAGGTGAAGTCTCAAAGGCCGTCTCGCCTGTCAATCATCAATGAGCTTGGTCATGGTTACTACTTCACTTTCACACCTGAACACACCTGAACACAAAGATCAATAAAGATAACTGAAGTGTGGAGAAAAACATTAAATGAGAAGAGAAGTGGCCCTAAGATTGATCCCTGAGGGACACCATAAGTGAACAGAGACACCTTTGGGTCATAAATGATCAAACCAGTGGTTAAAAATATAAATATATAATATAAATAAAGAAATGTAAAAATGTAATTCACATTTAAAGCTGTTTTAGTGGAAAACAAACTTTAGCTCACCTGTGAGAAGAAGAGTCAGAGGTGTAGAAACTAACTAATCTACAGAGCAGTTTGTTTGAAACGTTATTACATTCAGCATGTGTGTGTGACTGCTCTGGTTCAATCTGTGGAGGTTATTACCTGTTTGAACTTCATGAGTTAATATTCAACCTTTATGAGCCCTGATCTATCTGATCTATCTGAACAGCAAACATGATCAATCCAGAGTTCAAGGCTGCACGACATGTCCAGTTCTCTGGTCTGCACGACCAGAGAACTGCAAACTTTGACACACAGATTATTATTATTTATGCCCGTGTGTGTGTGTGTGTGTGTGTGTGTGTGTGTGTGTGTGTGTGTGTGTGTGTGTGTGTGTGTGTGTGTGTGTGTGTGTGTGTGTGTGTGTGTGTGTGTGTGTGTGTGTGTGTGTGTGTGTGTGTGTGTGTGTGTGTGTGTGTGTGTGTGTGTGTGTGTGTGTGTGTGTGTGTGTGTGTGTGTGTGTGTGTGTGTGTGTGTGTGTGTGTGTGTGTGTGTGTGTGTGTGTGTGTGTGTGTGTGTGTGTGTGTGTGTGTGTGTGTGTGTGTGTGTGTGTGTGTGTGTGTGTGTGTGTGTGTAGCCTGCAGGTATGCCAGTAAAGCAGCTCCAAAGACTGATCAGGACTACGACTACAGTGGACCCTCCATGAAAACCACCGTACCTGGACCCAGAACACAGGTAAGACACACCCAAAAGTATTTTTATTTCTCTGTGGTTTGTAAATAAATCTGTCAGATGAAAGTTTTTATAAAACATTTATTGATATAACAGAGTGTGTATTTGTTGACAGTGTGTACCCTTCTGTGGCTCACTTCCTGTCCCACCAGCTGGAGCTTCAGTGCAAAGTCTGTTTGATCTCACTGCTCCCTGCTGGTGATCCAGATTGTTACAGCTCACATTTTATAACACCTGAAAAACAAGACAGTTTGTTGCTGTAATGTGCAGCATGAGGAACCAGTGTGTGTGTGTGTGTGTGTATCTTTTTATGAGAAACAGCAATAAGTTCATTTAAAAATGTTTTTGTTCCTGTTGATTAATAAAGTTAATTTCTCTTCACCTGCAGGAGCTGACCAAACAGCTGGGAGAAATCCAGGTGAGAGCCTGAGTGCGTGTGCGTGTGTGCGTGCATATGTTTGCGTGCGTGTGTGTGCGTGTGTGTGTGTGCGTGTGTGTGTAACAGATGGATCTGTAATTGTGTTAACTCAGTGAACTAGTTTAATAAACCCTGGAGCACAAATTGTTGCACAAACCAGAAGCACTGAACTGTGTGTGTGTGTGTGTGTGTGTGTGTGTGTGTGTCTGTGTGTGTGTGTCTGTGTGTGCAGCAGTGATGTCTTCATGCAGTCACTCTGACTTATTCTTTTAATGAAGCTGTTGTGTTAATCTGAACATGTATTCATAGTTATTATATAGGATGTTGTTGTTGTTGTGATGATGATGATAAATATCTAAAGTGTGTGCCATCAGAACGTGGGGGCCATAAACTTCTTCTGTAACTATGAGGAGAGTCGGGGGAACTACCTGGTGGACGTGGACGGAAACCGCATGCTGGACCTTTACACACAGATCTCCTCCATCCCCATTGGTCAGTTACACACACACACACACACGCACACACACACACAGCTCAGCCAGTCAAAACCTCCCTCTCACTTTCTATCACTTTATACTTTAAGTTCTACAAGATGGTGCTCATGTTTATGATTAGACATTTAAAATCAACAAGTTTAAATAACAGCTACCTGTCTGTCTGTTTGTCTGTCTGTCTGTCTGTCTGGCTGCCTGTCTGTCTGCCTGTCTGTCTGTCTTTCAGGTTATAATCACCCTGATCTGCTCAAACTGATGTCCAACCCCAACAACCTGGTAAATCACTTTTAACTGATTTAATGAGGTCAGAACTACAGGTGTAGTTCACAGCTCCACCTATAGTTCACAGCTACAGGTGTTGAGTAAATTAACCGTGTGTGTGTGTGTGTGTGTGTGTGTGTGTGTGTGTGTGTGTGTGTGTGTGTGTGTGTGTGTGTGTGTGTGTGTGTGTTTTTCAGAGCACGCTGGTGAACCGTCCCGCTCTTGGGATCCTGCCACCGGAGAACTTTGCAGATAAAATCACAGAGACTCTGCTCTCAGTCAGTAACACACACACAAGCACGCATGCACACACACACAGTTGTAACATTAAAAATAACGCTGATTGATGATGTTTTGTGTCTTTTTGTGGTAAGGTGGCGCCCAGCGGGATAACCCGTGTTCAGACGATGGCGTGCGGCTCGTGCGCCAATGAGAACGCCTACAAAGCCATGTTCATCTGGTACAGGGTGAGTTAACCTCACCTGGCTCACCTGGCTCACCTTACATTTTGTTAAACCAGGACAAAGTGTGATTGAGCGTCCTGACTGAGACGATGTTCAGACATAAAACGCATATATAAAGAAACATTCATCAACAACAAGGCGATCAGTCAGATAGCCCCGCCTCCAAACCAGCCACCCTAAAGTATCCTGCAGCTGATTCTAGAACACGGTTCAGTACGAGCTTCAGGGTCAAAAGGTGTAATGATCACTTCCAGAGGTTATGAGATGTTCATTAAAAGCATTCTGGACTCATCAGTGACTTTAAGTGAGTCCTTAACAATGGAGGAAGCTCCATCCCATTTTTATTTCCAGCCAGGGATTTAATTGTCTTCCAGAATGTCAGGGGATTGTTGATGTTTCTGAGAGGAAATGATCAGCTTTGTCTTTGCTAATTGTAACCGTGAGAGCATTGTGAGCCGGTCTGAATCCAGACCTGATCCCCCATGCTGTAATCTGGAGTGAACCATACATTATTTCAACCTTTAACTCTGGACTTTCTGAGGGGAGCATGCTTGTTAACATTGTTTTAAAACCATCATTTAAGAGTAACTAAACCCTAAAACCACTTTTTTCAACTATAAACCTCTGTATTTGAGTATTAAGTAGTGTTATGGATCAATCCAAGTCCCAATCTCGACATTTGAGTACAAAGTATTGAAATTTGAAATAGTGTGTTAGAAATGTGCATAGTGTCTGCCCTTCTGTTTGAAAAATTCTAACAGCTGTGTGGAGTACAGTGCTAAGTAGGAATAAATTACTACGTCACCAAACCTATTAAAGCCTCGTCACCCGACTCGGCGAACTGTGGAGAGTCAAGTGTATGTGTGTATTTGTGTGTGTGGGGCAAACATTGTATCATGTTGCGGCTGATAACGGCATGTAGGAGTGAGTGGGCGAGTTTACCCCGCCGCCCCCTTCCTTCTCGAAGTTGATACATTGACATTGTAAATGCATTTTTTTAAATTCCAGGGTAGAGCAGTACAACTGAAAATATGGGGTTTAGTTACCCTTTAAATAGTTTCCAAGCACATTCCACATGAAAAAAACCCTTGTTCATTAAAGTGTTTCATGTTTCATGCTTCATGATGGTGCGTGGCTTGGTTTTGGGGACTTTCGTATTTCTCACTGAGGCAATAACACAATGGTCACTGATGTCATTTTGAAAAACAGAAGCTGTTGTGTAGGGTTAGAGGAGGAGTGTTTGTTAGAATAAAATCTATTAGAGATGATTTTTCTGGATATTTAGGTTTGGGTGTAGTGGGGCTATCGACAATTTGAAAGAGGGTTAGTGAGTCACAATAAGCTTTAAAATCATCAGATACTGGTTTTAACCAGTTCCAGTTGAAACACCTGAAATCTCCCATAATGAAAATATCATTAAACTTCAGTTCCATTAAAAGCTGCTTCAGGGTTCAGAGATTTAGAGACAACAAACTGCTTCCTCTCTCACGTTTACATGAAACTTGCTTTTTATATAAACTGAAATAGCCCCTCCCCTTTTGGGTTGATCAGTCCTAAATATAATATAACCATGGATACTAATATTTAAAACAGATTTACTCAACCAAGTTTCATCTGTTGATATGTATCGTATGAGTGTCAGCTCTCACTGCGTAAGTTCAGATGGATGAGACCGAGACCGAGACCAGACCAGCTGGAGTGTTCTAACAGAGTCTAGACCTGGTTTGGGACGCCGGTCCCTGAAAGCAGCAGAACACTAAGACACTCTAAGTGAGGAGGTTTCTTTAAAGACAGTTTAAACACTGATAAGATGTACGGCTTCTCTGTCGTGTGATTGGCCGGTACACTGTGTGATGTCATGATTTGTTTTGTGGTGCAGAATAAAGAGCGAGGACCCAACGCGCCGTCTGAAGAAGAGCTCAGCAGCTGTATGATAAACCAGGTGACACACACGTTCACAATCATCACCATGAAAGATCTGTGTGATGAAACAGGAAGTGATGTCATGTCTCTGTGTTTCAGTCTCCAGGATGTCCTGAACTCAGTATTTTATCCTTCATGGGCGGATTCCATGGCCGGACGATGGGTGTGTATGACCACTGTCACATTTATTATTAATATTATGATCCATCATCCATTTGTTTTTTTAAATATTCAAAATCATGTAATCAAACAGTAAAGCTTTGTAGAAACCCTTTGAGAAAATGAAATCAAAGACTTTGCTTTCTTGGTTCTACTTGATTTGTTGTTTTTTCTCAGACCTGTAACGTGGTTCCTTTCTTTGTTTTCTGTGTTTCACTCGGGTCATTAAATGGTTAAACGGCCGTCCGCTTGTTTACAGAAACTTTTCATAGGTTGATTTTCATAGTTTAAAAAAAAGGGGAAATAGTCAAACCTGTAGAAAAAAAAACATACTTTGTACTGAACATTTTCTATTTTAGGAATGTTTTTACATCCTTACTAACATGAAAAAGGAAAACAACAATTCTTCTTCGATTGACGTCGCAAAAAATCCTCTCGAGGGCCCCAAATAGGCTGCGGGTCGCACTGTGGACAACCCTGATCTAAACTGAAAGACATTAATCACTCAATCTTTATTTATCGTTTCAGGTTGCCTATCAACAACACACTCTAAACCCATCCACAAACTGGACTTGCCGTCGTTTGATTGGCCGATTGCTCCGTTCCCGCACCTTCAGTATCCTCTGGAGGAGTTCACCCGCGAGAACGCTCAGGAGGAGGCGCGCTGCCTGGAGGAGGTGTGTGTGTGTGTGAGATGGTCAGGTGGAGGAGTTTCAGTATATTTATAATCTACAGGTGGAGGAGTTTCAGTATATTTATAATCTACAGGTGGAGAAGTCTCAGTATATTTATAATCTACAGGTGGAGAAGTCTCAGTATATTTATAATCTACAGGTGGAGGAGTTTCAGTATATTTATAATCTACAGGTGGAGAAGTCTCAGTATATTTATAATCTACAGGTGGAGAAGTCTCAGTATATTTATAATCTACAGGTGGAGGATCTGATCGTCAGGTGGAGGCAGAAGGGGAAGCCGGTGGCGGGGATCGTAATTGAGCCGATCCAGGCTGAAGGTGGAGATAACCACGCCTCCCCCGACTTCTTCAGGAACCTCCGCAACATCGCACGCAAGGTAACTGTCGTAACTATGGCAACAGATAATTTCCCTATCTGCAGTAATGAATGAAAACAGATTTCTGATTGTCCAATCACATTCCCTCTTCCAGCACGGCTGTGCGTTCCACGTGGACGAGGTTCAGACAGGGGGCGGGGCCACGGGAAAGTTCTGGGCTCATGAGCACTGGGGATTGGACGACCCGGCAGACATCGTGGCCTTCAGTAAGAAAATGCTGACCGGAGGATACTTCCACAAGGACGAACTGCAGGCTGACAAGGTGAGAGACAGACAGGTAGAGAGACAGACAGACAGACAGACAGATAGACAGACACACACACACACATACAGACACACAGACACACAGACACACAGACAGAAAGCCAGACAGACATACACACAGTCAGACAGAGAGACAGGTAGAGAGACAGACACACAGACACACAGACAGAAAGCCAGACAGACAGACACACAGTCAGACAGACAGACAGACAGACAGACAGACACACAGACAGGTAGAGAGACAGACAGAGACAGTCAGTCAGACAGACAGGTAGACATACAGACACACACATACAGGTAGAGAGACAGACAGGTAGAGAGACACACAGAGACACAGACAGCCAGACAGACAGATACACAGTCAGACAGAGAGACAGGTAGAGAGACAGACAGACAGGTAGAGAGACAGACAGACAGACACACAGTCAGACAGACAGACAGACAGGTAGACAGACACACAGTCAGTCAGACAGACAGACAGACAGACAGACAAACAGTCAGACAGACAGACACACAGACAGGTAGAGAGACAGACAGAGACAGTCAGTCAGACAGACAGGTAGAGAGACAGACAGACAGACAGACAGACAGACAGACAGACAGACAGGCAGAGAGACAGACAGACAGGTAGAGAGACAGACAGGTAGACATACAGACACACACACAGGTAGAGAGACAGACAGACACACAGACAGACAGACAGGTAGACATACAGACAGGTAGAGAGACAGACAGACAGACAGACAGACAGACACACACACACACACACACACAGACAGACAGACAGAGAGACAGACAGACAGACAGGTAGAGAGACAGACAGACAGACACACACACAGTCAGACAGACAGACAGACAGCAGACAGACACACAGGTAGAGAGACAGACAGACAGATGTTTACAGATGTTTGTTACCTGTGATCCCTTCTTCAGCCGTACCGTATCTTTAACACCTGGATGGGGGATCCTTCAAAGAACCTGATGCTGGCTGAAGTCCTGAACGTGATCCGCACAGAGAACCTTTTGGAGGAGGTGTGCCGCTCAGGGAAGGCTCTGCTGAACGGCCTGTATGAGCTGCAGGTACGACAACCATATTAACATTAGCATCAGCATTATCGTTTACATCAGGGATAGCATTAGCATAAACATTTGAGTTAACATAAACATAGCACTACCACTAGAGGTACTCTCTGACAGTGTGTAAGTGTGTCATACTGTGTGTAGTTCACTGCAGGGTGTTCTGCTCTGTGTAATCTGACCTACATTTGTGTGTGTGTGTGTGTGTGTGTGTGTGTGTGTGTGTGTGTGTGTGTGGTTGTGTGTGTGTGTGTGTGTGTGTGTGTGTGTGTGTGTGTGTGTGTGTGTGTGTGTGTGTGTGTGTGTGTGTGGTGTGGTGTGTGTGTGTGTGTGTGTGTGTGTGTGTGTGTGTGTGTGTGTGTGTGTGTTGTGTGTGTGTGTGTGTGTGTGTGTGTGTGTGTGTGTGTGTGTCTGTGTGTGTATCTGTGTGTGTCTGGTTCTGTGTGTGTGTGTGTGTGTGGTTCTGTGTGTCCTCAGGCTCGGTACCCCGGCATGCTGAGCCGAGCTCGAGGACAGGGGACTTTCTGTGCCATCGATATCTGTGACGACGCCACACGCACGAGCCTGCTCAACAAGGCCAGAGACAAAGGTACCAAGGATCTGTTCATTCATGTCTGTGTGGAAGTTATTACCTGTGACTGACAGGTGTACAGTAACAGTAACATTACCTGTGATTGACAGGTGTACAGTGATAGTACCTGTGACTGACAGGTGTACAGTAACAGTACCTGTGATTGACAAGTGTACAGTAACAGTACCTGTGAATGACAGATGTACAGTAACAGTACCTGTGATTGACAGGTGTACAGTAACAGTACCTGTGAATGACAGGTGTACAGTAACAGTACCTGTGAATGACAGATGTACAGTAACAGTACCTGTGATTGACAGGTGTACAGTAACAGTACCTGTGAATGACAGGTGTACAGTAACAGTACCTGCGATTGACAGGTGTCCTCCTGGGTGGCTGTGGATCTCAGTCAATCCGTTTCCGTCCTGCGTTGGTCTTCAAAGAGTACCACGTCCACATGTTCCTCAACATCTTTAACGACGTGTTGGCTCAGCACAAATAAACCCAACTTGAAGACCTGATGGACCTGAAGAACCTGAGGGACCTGAAGGACTCAGACTTACCCTACCTGCTACTGATTGAATCCTGTCATGATGAACACAATCCTCACATTAATTTACACACCTGTCAGCTCTGTTTACAGGTCAACGACCAATTCATCTTCAAAACTGACCAATCATCCTCATCCTCTCATTAGCTCCATAAGATCATCCTGTACCCACAGAACCAATCAGAAAACAGATTACTCTGGGTCCTGTGCTCGATGAAAAGAATCAATGTATTGCTGGAAGCAGCCGGTTGATACAGGTGAGTCTGTTTGTCTGACAGGTAGCATTAACATTATATTAATGTAAATAAAGTGTTCTCATTAACCACACACACACACACACACACACACACACACACACACACACACACACACACACACACACACACACACACACACACACACACACACACACACTCTGTCAGGGCGCATCAGGGCTGTCACCACAATATTCAACTTTGATTTGATACCTGTGGAAATAAAGGACATCGTTACCACAGCGACAACAATTAGAGTCCCAGACACACGTATTGGTTTATTTCTTCTTTTGAATTATTAAAAATTGCTCACTGTCTAAATTGTACAAAGATGTAAGCAACAGTTCAGACAGTGAGCAGGAGGAATCAGCAACATGACCCTCAGACACGCTGAACCCTGACAGACTGTGGCGCCCTCTGGTGGTCGTATTGAAGAAACCAGCCTGCATGTCATTAAAGCTCCTCGCTCTGCTTCTGACTGTTCTGTTGCTCTTCAGCTTGAAATGTTTTAGCCCAGAAATGTGAAACTTTGATGGACCATAAACAGTCTTAGATGATGTAGTGCCTGCATGACTTTTTATACGGCCTCCATCACATGTTGAAAACAGGCTGAACAGAGAGCTTCATATCAGCTGGTTCAATAATGTCCATATTCACTCTTCAGCTACGGAGGCCCCAAAGGACAAAAGACAAGAAGCACAAACATAAAGAAATTCACTTCATATCTCATACACACACACAGACATACACACACACACACACACACACACACAATGAACCTGTGCTTAGAGCTGCTAACGCTCTATAGATCCACTTTCTGTGATTATTCATCCGTCAGTTCGTTGACATCAGATTATCGTTTCTTTTTATTTATGAGCTGCCAAACGGAGACCTCGTGTTATGTGATGATAAACAACAACAGCAACAGCTCAGCGTTTATGAGGCTTCGTTAACGCTGTCTCACCTTTACTGTTGTACGTCAGCGCCCCCCGGTGGTGACTGTGTGATAACAGCGTTATACTCAGGCTCTGAAACACGTTCATGTTGAACATCCTTGTTTCTCTGAAACTCAGGAAGACATCGGGAGAGGCTGTGAGCTGAGCTGCTGCTAACGTTAGCTTAGCTTGTTTATGGGCACAATGTCAGACTAAACATCATATCAGATATATAAGATAATATTTCTGTTTTATTAACAGACTTTTGTTCTTTATTTAAACAAAAGGAGACAAACTGAGCGCTGTTCCCCATGGTAGCATGTTAGCTAACTGTAGCTAATTAGCTTAGCTTTAAGCACAGGTCCATCAAACACTTTACACCAAGTCTCATCAGCACATGTAGTAAACATGTTTATGGCTCTGACTCTGGCGCTCTGTGATTGGTTGAATGTTCCTGGCGCCTTTAGACGAGTGTAGCAGCTCATGAACATGAATCTGTTGTAAATATGAAAACATGTGTAGGGGTCTCTCTCTTAACCACTCTGATATTTACGCTTTGTTTGGTAGCAGTTCATGAAGGATGAGGACAACAGCGCCCGTTTGTCTGTTTGTCGTCACTCAGTATTACCTGATGTAGAGTTCCCATGATCCTCTCTGTTAACTACAGTAATTATTGCACTTGTGACATATAGATGATTATTGATGTAATTATTTTAATGGCTCTAACTGTTGTACTGTGATCAATAAATTAATCCAGTTTGACTAACTTAGAGACTGTTGGTTTGTCCTGATCAAAACGTTCCTCACAGGTAAACATATGACATACGATATGTCAGGTGAGACTCACAGGTAAGCATGTGACATACGATATGTCAGGTGAGACGCACAGGTAAGCATGTGACATACGATATGTCAGGTGAGACGCACAGGTAAGCATGTGACGTACGATATGTCAGGTGAGACGACGCACAGGTAAGCATGTGACATACGATATGTCAGGTGAGACGCACAGGTAAGCATGTGACATACGATATGTCAGGTGAGACTCACAGGTAAACATGTGACATACGATATGTCAGGTGAGACGCACAGGTAAACATGTTACATACGATATGTCAGGTGAGACGCACAGGTAAGCATGTGACATACGATATGTCAGGTGAGACGCACAGGTAAACATGTTACATACGATATGTCAGGTGAGACTCACAGGTAAACATGTGACATACGATATGTCAGGTGAGACGCACAGGTAAACATGTTACATACGATATGTCAGGTGAGACGCACAGGTAAGCATGTGACATACGATATGTCAGGTGAGAAGCACAGGTAAACATGTTACATACGATATGAGGACACACTGGATACAGATCACCAACAGTGATATAAATATAAACACACTTTGATTGATCTCTCATTGGAGGATTATTTGGAGGTGTTTACAGAATTAATAATAATAAATCAATAATAATAATAATAATAAATAAACAGTCTGATGAAAACAGTTTGAAGCTGATTGATGACACAGTCAGGTAATCCCTTCACGTGCGGCTGATCAACAGGTGGGATGAATGACCTGCAGGGGGCGCTCTTTGTTGCAGGGTGAAGTCTGAGTGTGCTGCTCAGAGCCCCACAGTGTCATGCAGAGGGGGATGAGAGGACAGAACCCCCCCCCCCCCCTCTCCTCAGCACTTAAATATATAAATTAATGTTTTTTGTTTTGTTTTATTTGATTATTTAGATTATAAATAATAAAAACAGTAAACTTCTTTTCTTCTAAAGTCTATTTTATGTTATTTCTGCACAAGTGGATTTTAATGTAAATGATTGTTTAAATCACTGAGGTCACGTGGAGGCCAACAGGCTGAGTCACATCAAGTGAAAGTTTGTGTTAAAAATCCACCTGAGGACACTCAATGTCTGCATGTTGTTTGTGTTAATGACATCATCCTCATACTTTAAGACAGTTATATAAATTATTATTAAAGTGAAGACAAAAAAAATGAGCCCATGTGTCACAGAGAACCCCACAGACTGTTAATTATTTATTATATTAATGATTATTCATGGTGATTCATTATTATACTGTTCAGTGTTCACACTCTCAGACCACACTCTGTAAATAATATATATTATTTACTGTAAACATTTTTTTTATAATTTACTGTAAATAATATTTATAATTTACTAGCAATAATATTTATAATTCACTGTAAATAATATTTTCAGTCTATGGTTCAGACCGGGAGACTTATTTTGTTGAATCAGAAAGTGTTGCATTTACGTGACAACGTGGCGGTTTGGAGCCAATCAAAGCGTCAGGATTTGACCACTTTTCATTGGTTACAGTCCGCCTCTGGTCGCTGGCGATTGGTTGCGTGAAGCAGAAGTCCCGCCCTCGTGATGTTGATATTTAAAGGTACAGAGTGCCAACGCGGTCTGATCAGTTCTCAGAGAGTCTGAAGAGTGATGGTGAGTTCAGCTTTTTATCTTTTAGAGAAGAAAAAGAGAAATGAAAGAACAAACAGAAAGAGTTTAATAAAAAGAGTTAGAGACAGTTGTATAATGTCAATTTATAACTTCAATAATACCGCTAATAGCGCTTACAAACACCGAGGACACACAGAGACTTCATCACTGTCTCTGAGCTCTTTATTGATTAATAATGACTTTAATAACTCTCTGAGCTCTTTATCGATTAATAATGACTTTAATCATGTTCATATATTTAATATAAAGTCTTAGACACAGTGTAATGTCATCTTATACCGTGTGTACAGTTCTGTTAGTGAGGAGACAGAGTTCATGTTCAGTGATGGAGGAGAGACTCATCATCACTCTCTGAGCTCTTTATCGATTAATAATGACTTTAATCACTCTCTGAGCTCTTTATCGATTAATAATGCCTTGAATCCCTCTGATTATTAATGAGTGCCATGTTTGATGATGTCATATTTGCTGACTCTACCAAACACTCTATATTATATTTGAATATTATAGGATCAGATTATTCGATTTTCAAACCTGTTTGGATACCGGTGTTAGGTTTTAAATAGTGACTGTGTTATCTGGTGACTCTCAGCCCAATGAGTCTGTGGTTGTCGTGGTTACAGCAGATGATGAAGACTGAGCTCTTTATGACATCATGATAAAAACAGTAAAGAAAGAGGAAGTCGTCTTTATTAGTGTCCTTCACACATCTTTAAAATAACACATTCAGATTCTGAACGCCAGGTGTTGACATGGACACAGGTACCAACATGTACAGCTAATGCTAATGCTTTTATTGAGAGTGTTTGAATCAGTGTTTAAGGTTAAACACACCTGTCACTTTAAATTTGAGAGTTTAACCCTTTAAGTGTTTCTCTGTGTGTGTTTTCAACAGTCCACCATGAAGCTGCTCACATCGTTAGTGTCTCTCTGCGTCCTGGCTGCTGTAGCCTTCGCCGTACCTGCTCAGGAGAAACGCATCCATCACCACGCCGACCTGAGTGACCACGCCCATGATGACGCCCACGGCTTCCAGTACGACCACGAGGCGTTCCTTGGGAAGGAGGAGGCCAAAACCTTCGACCAATTGACCCCCGAGGAGAGCAAGGAGAAGCTGGCGTAGGTCTTCCTCACCTTCATCATTGCTTAGACAGAAACAATCAATCACAGATGTTTATATTGATCGGTTCAGTCTCAAAGTGTTTTACAGCTGAGTTGTCATTTATTAAAGGAGCAGTATGTAACTCTGCCCCCTAGTGTTTAAAATGGGTACTGCAGTCCAAATTCTAAACATCATAGAGAGCTGTCTCTCCCCCCACTGAATGTCCAGGTCTGAGTCTGTGCAGGATCCAGCTGGTTTGATTGAGTCTGGTGTTTAACCCTTTAATGTCCTCCCTCCCTGCAGGAAGATCGTGGATCGTATCGACATGGACAAAGACGGCTTCGTGAGTCACGGTGAGCTGCACTACTGGATCAAACACCGGCAGAGGAGGTACATCGAGGAAAACGTGAACAAACACTGGAACGACTACGACCAGAACCAGGACGGAAAGATCGCCTGGGAGGAGTACAAGAACACCACCTACGGATACTACATCGGTAACCTTTAAATCTCCTCTCGACCTGCTGCTCAACGCCAAGACACTGAACTCACCTGCATGATGACCCGCAATTAGCAAACAGGGTCAGGGTCTGATGTGAGTCAGGGTCTTGGTCAGGGTCTGGTGTGAGTCAGGGTCTGGGTCAGCGTCAGTGTCTGGTGTGAGTCAGGGTCTGGGTCAGGGTCTGGGTCTTATGTGAGTCAGGGTCTTGTCTGGGTCAGGGTCTGATGTGAGTCAGGGTCAGGGTCTGGGGTGAGTCTGGGTCAGGGTCTGGGTCTGGTGTGAGTCAGGGTCAGGGTCTGGGTCAGGGTCTGGTGTGAGTCAGGGTCTGGGTCCCGGTCAGGGTCGGGGTCTGATGTGAGTCAGGGTCTCGGACTGGGTCATGGTCCTGGTCTTGGTCAGGATCTCGGTCAGGGTCTCGGTCAGGGTCAGGGCCTGGGTCTGGGTCTGATGTGAGTCAGGGTCTCGGTCTGAGTCTGAGTCGGGGTCTGATGTGAGTCAGGGTCTCGGTCTTGGTCAGGGTCAGGGTCTTATGTGAGTCAGGGTCTCGGTCTGGGTCTTGGTCAGGGTCTCGGTCGGGGTCGGGGTCTGACCGTGTGCTATTTGTGTTAATTAAAAACAGGAAGTGACTCTGGAGTCAGGACTATTGTTGTTGTTGTTGCCATGGTAACAAAGAGGGATCATTATTGAAGTCCGGTCTGGACTCTCTTAGACCGAGGGTCACGATGAGAAGCGGGTGAAGATGAAACTTCAACTTTTGATTGCAGATGACGAGTTCCATGACATTGAAGACAAAGCCAGGTATAAGTCCATGCTGACCCGGGACGAGAGACGATTCAAGATGGCCGACAGAGACAGAGACGGCATCGCCACACGAGAGGAGTTCACCGCCTTCCTCCACCCGGAGGAGTTTGACTACATGAGAGATGTGGTGGTGCAGGTACACATTCAGGCTCCGCCCCTTTCCCCTCCAGGGACTGTCAGTGCATAGTTTGATCATATTTGATTACTCGGGTCTGATGATCCTCTGCTCCTCTCGAGTGAATCGTTTTCTTTTTCAGGAAACGGTCGATGACATCGATAAGGACGGAGACGGAAAAATCAACATACATGAATACATCGGTAAGAAACTCTGAGTGACTGACTCCGCCACTTTTCTCCTCCCCTGGAGGTCACCTGAAGTGTGTGTGTGTGTCCACAGGTGACATGTTCTCACCTGAGAGCGGGGAGACCGAGCCTGAGTGGGTCCACACGGAGAGGAAACAGTTTTCTGACTTCAGAGACTCAAATAAAGACGGTTACATGGACGCTGACGAGGTGGCTCAGTGGATCCTACCTGGAGAGGTGGACCACGCCGACAACGAGGCCAAACACCTTATCCACGAGACGGACACTAACAAGGTGTGTACACACACACACACACACACACACACACACACACACACACACACACACACACACACACACACACACACACACACACACACACACACACACACACACACACACACACACACACACACACACACACACACACACACACACACACACACACACACACCCCTTTACCTGTTTGTTTACAATAATAAAAGTAATTCTGGATTAATTACAAACATTTTCCTCTCTGTCCCCTCCTCTTCTTCATCCTCCTCTTCTTCCTCCTGTCAATCATAATCAAACCCCTCCCCCTGACATGGTCCAACAGGACCAGAAGATAACGAAGAAGGAGATTCTAGAGAACTGGAACATGTTTGTGGGCAGCCAGGCCACCAACTACGGAGAAGATTTAACCAAGAGACACGACGAGCTCTGATCCACATGGTCTGCTTTATATAATGGGGAGGGAGGGGGGGGGGGTTAAGAAGCAACAAAACACACAACACTGTGTGCTGCATCCTGACGTGAAGCTCCGCCCCTGCAGGAAACAGCGTGTTTTTAGAGAGTCCTGGTTCTGTGATCCTCTGCATGATGATCTGATCTCACATACCGTGTATGTGCTTACAGCTGATACTGGTCATGTGACACACACACACACACACACACACACACACACACACACACACACACACACTCCGCACTGCGTCGTTTACATTTCTTTTTGATACGAGGGTTTTGGGGTACGTTGTGATCCAGACTGACGGTGCATTGACCTGCAGCTGAATCCAAATGTAGATTTGATAATAAAACGCCATCAGGAAACAAGAAGGGAGCTGTTTAAATAAAGGTCTGTTTTCCACCAGTCTGTGTGTGTGTACCCGGTTCAATCAGAGAGACAGGAAGTGTTCACACCTTTACCTGTGAACTTTGACCCTTTTAACAATTTGTTCCTGTCAGGACGGACGTCTGACTCTGAGCGAGCTGATTGAACATCTGGACTTCATCAAGATCAGCACCATCACTGACTACGGAGGCATGAAGGTCGAGGAACACGACGAGCTGTGATTCAGCCGGGGGGGGAGAGAGAGAGAGGTGAGAGAGAGGGAGGAGAGAGAGGGAGGAGGGGGAGAGAGAGAGAGGGAGGAGAGAGAGGGAGGAGGGAGAGAGAGAGGGAGGAGGGAGGAGTAAGGAGTTTAAATGTGAGGAGTCCTCTGTGCAGGACGAAGTCGAGGAGAATCAGAGGAAACTTTGAATAAAATAAAAACAGTTTGATTCTTTATATTTGTTTTTAATGTCAAATATTTTAACACAACTCAGATCAATAACACCTGCTGATTGTTTACATCTGAACAGCTGACACCATCTGAAGTTTAAACACTGACCTCATCATCAACAAACATCAAAGTTTAAAGGTCAAATTCAAAAATATAAAATAAAAATGTTTAAAGAACAGAAAAGAGAATCCTGTGGACAGGTGAGTTGTTATAGGCTCCTCCTCCGGTCCGTCCAGGTGTGTCACACCATCATCACAGGACGAGCTTCTTTAGCCTTCAGGTCGACTCCAGACGCCGCGAAGCCTGTTCCTCCCTGAACGGCACACAGACACAAAATCAGTTCTGAAAACACGTCTGACAGACCTGAACCAGGACTTTACCTGACCCAGGTAACATAATAATAAGATGTTAAGGTGAATCACCCACCCTCTGCAGGAAGACGATGTCTCTGTCAGTCAGCTTGTCTCCGCTCACAGGATCCAACATGTCCTTCTTTATGAGCTTCAACACACACTCCTGGGTCACCACACAGCCCCTACACACACACAGTGTGTTAGTGATTATACAGTCTGACCATGTGAACACGAGGAGGACATGTCTTTACTCACGATGGTCTGAGGACGGCACAGGGGACGCTGTTACCCAGCACGTCTCTGGTGACTGCACACACATATCTGTCCTGAGTAGAGAACACACACACACAATCAACACCTGCTGTGATGTCATCACCAGGTGGCCGTGGTCTGAATTAGTTCCCTGGGACTGACCTGTCGGGTGAGCAGAGCGACTCGGTCCAGGCTCGAGTCCAGAGGAGTGAAACGGACTGTTATCAGCTCGTTCATCTTTAACGGTCGACCTGACATCGGACACAGCACCACTTTACTCTGGGGGGGTGGGGAGAGAGAGTGACAGCCAATCAGAGAGCTCCAGCTGAGGAGTCAGGGTCATTCTGTCTGCTGTGTTTAATGTGAGTCAACATTAAAGACAGACACTGAATAAACAACACTGATATCAAACACTGCTATATACAGAGACAGATAAACAACCTCTACCGCCCTCTGCAGGCAGAGGGGAGTATTACATCTGCTCTGCTGATAGACTTCAGACACAATAAACCCGGTTTGTACCCACACCACGTCATTAAACTTTGAAAGTAAAAATCTAAAGATATCGATACCTGTTTGTTACCATGACAACAGGAAGTTTTTCATTATCAAAAGTTGCAGACAATCTCCCGCACATTAAAATGCAGAAAGATTTGGACACGTTTTAAGGAGGGATTTGTGCAACAGACAACACGCGCTCCTGTAGACCTCTCTCACACCTGACAGTTTCTATTATCATTTAAATATCTCTGAAATTATGAGCATGTTGACGCCTTTAGAACAAAGACCCTTCTATTGAACACATCATTGAAGACTGGACACTCACTGGTTTCTTGATCAGGGTGGGTTTGGCCTCTGGAGTCAGAGAGGGGATCCAGAAACTGGGCAGACTGGAGGAGGACGAGGAGGTGGAGGCTGTGGAGGAGGAGCTGGGGGCTGATGAAGAAGAGGAGGAGGAGGCTGAGTCTGCCGGGGTTTTCTCCCCTGCTGAGGTCTGCCCTGCAGGAGGATGACAACTAAGATTTACAGACTGTCATTGAACACATCAAAGAGCTGAACACGATCTCTGAGACAAGACGTGCAGTGAGACAAAAGACGTGCAGTGAGACAGAAGACGTGCAGTGAGACAGAGGATGTGCAGTGAGACAGAGGACGTGCAGTGAGACAGTTGATGTGCAGTGAGACAGGCGATGTGCAGTGAGACAGTTGATGTGCAGTGTGACAATTGATGTGCAGTGAGACAATTGATGTGCAGTGAGACAATTGATGTGCAGTGAGACAGCGATGTGCAGTGAGACAGGCGATGTGCAGTGAGACAGAGGACGTGCAGTGAGACAGGCGATGTGCAGTGAGACAGAGGACGTGCAGTGAGACAGGCGATGTGCAGTGAGACAGGTGATGTGCAGTGAGACAGGTGATGTGCAGTGAGACAGAAGACATGCAGTGAGACAGGTGATGTGCAGTGAGACAGGTGATGTGCAGTGAGACAGGTGATGTGCAGTGAGACAGGTGAGTGTACCTGTGGTAAAGGGGTTGATGGGTTTGGACACGATGCTGTTCTCTCTGCTCTTGAATCTCTCCATCCTCTCTCTCTCCTCTGACTTTGACTCCAGCTGACTGCTGCTCCTCTGAGCTGCTTTCTGCTTCTCGTACGCCTGAAGAAGAAAGGGACCAAAGAAGAAGAACATGACCAAAGTAGAAGAAGAGGAAGAAGAGGACCAAAGAAGAAGAGGAAGAAGAGGACCAAAGAAGAAGAAGGGGAAGAAGAGGACCAAAGAAGAAGAGGAGGAAGAGGACCGAAGAAGAAGGATGTGTACAGGCTGACTGAATGATGTCACACAAACAACATGAAGACAGTCGTTCAAGTTTGTATCGTTTGTGTCAAAAGTCTGTCTTACTTAAAGGGAAGCCACACCCCCCCCCCCCCACACACACACACGCACGCACGCACACTTTACCTTCATCTTTTTGGCGATCTCAGTCTTCTGGTGCAGGATGAACTCCAGGATCGCCTGTTTCTCATACAGGAATCCATCTGGACTGAAACACAACACACACTCTATTACTGTAACTGTGTGTGTGTGTGAGTGAGTGAGTGAGTGTGTGTGTGTCTCTCTGTGTGTGTGTCTCGTACGTCACCACCGGGTTCTTGCACGGCTGCAGAGACAAACAGCAGCAGTCGAAGTCTTTGATGGCGTCTTTTCCGAGTCTGATGCTCTGAGTGCCATAACCAGACGCAGCTGAGGGGCGGAGTCAAAGGTCACATGATGGACAGAACATTAAACACAACATGCTGAGAAGACTTCATTATATTTATATAAAACGCTGAGATCAGAGATTCTTTGAGACTGCAGATAAAACGATGAATAAACTGAGTGAAGTAGAATCCTTTCTTCATCAGAGACCTTTGACCTCCTTAGTTTGACCCTCATGGGCTCCCGTAGTCACAGGTAGCCACGGGTCACTTTGAGCAACTCTTACGGATCCTCTTCAGGTTGTTGAAATAATAAATAACCTTTATGAACACATAGCTGCTCACCTGTGTCCTTCTTCTTCTCGTGGTAGGTGTAAACGGCTCCGGCGGTGCAGTTCTTCCCGTGACGAGTCATTTTATGTTATTCAGTGAATCTGAGAGAGAGGAGAACTGTTAGCTCTGATGCTAACATGCTAAGAGTAACTAACGATCATTCACGCATGCGCAGATGTTATGTGTTAATAACACACAAAGAAACGTGTATAAATGACAATTAAATAGAAAGTTGTTCTTTTTTACCGAAGCTGAAACGAAGAGATGTTTAACGAGCACCACCAACAACAACAACAACTTCTTCTTCTGCTGTTCCCGCTACTTCCGGCTTCTTCTTCTTCTGCTGCTGTTCCTGCTACTTCCGGCTTCTTCTTATTCTTTTTTTTCTTTTCTGGAAACAAAATCTTTAAACTTTGGTTTATTTCTGAAGCTTGTTTAGTTCAAATATTTGTAATGAAAATAAAAAAGCGTGGTTTGACTTTCAAAAATCTACATTTATGTTTATGTTGTTTGGCCAAAATAATACCTGTAGTTCTTTTTATACTGATGTAATCTAAGTTTGGAGAATTGAAGTCTATTGCAGATATCCAGTTTTGAAATGAACCCCAAAAAGTTTTTGTAAACTCACAATCATA